ACGGTCTCGGAGGCGCCGATCGGTGCGAGCAGGTGTGCGAAGGTTCCGCGCACGGCGGCCGCGGCGAGGGGGAGCGCCAGTGCGCCGCACACCACCTCCAGTCGCTTCACAATCTCGTCCTCCATCTCGTTATCAAAATAAATGAAAAATAAAAATAATGTGAAATTGTTTTGTTGTTTGTTTTTTTTTGTTTTTTTGGTTGTTCTGGCGGAGTGGGTGGAGTGTCGTGAGGGCTCTCGTGACGCAACCCAATACAAAAGAAAGAAGAAGACAAGTGCGCAACAAGATGGAAGAAGAGGAGCATGACCGCCGCGAGGTGGAAGGCGAGACGCACGAAGAGGGGAGCGACGGGTGCGAAGTACCTGCGGAACACAAAGTGGAAGAGGATGAGCACCCAGCTCGCGCGGCAGGAGGAGATGAAGCGATAGCACACGAGGAGATTGAAGATAAAGATGAAGGGCAACACGTCGCGGCCTCCCCCGAAGACTGTTCAACCAAAGAGCGAAGAAAGCGAAACAACAAAGATCGAAAGCGAAGGAGGTGGCCAGGAGTCTGCGCCGCAAGAAGAAGAGCAGGACCACGAGGGCGGCGGCGACGACGACGAAGACGAAGCGGCAACGTTCGACCCCGAGGAGGGCTACGAGCAGGAAAAGAACCTGAGGAACCAGTCACGCGCCAACTCGGACGCCGACGCACGCGCAGAAGGCCAACGAGAAGAAGAGGCCGTGGCCATCACCGAGCCGGACCATTCGCCCACCAGCAGCCTCGGTCCAGCCCCTCAGCCCGAGCCCGATCCCGAGCTCTTGGCCGAGCCCGGCGTCGCCGTCGAAGACCAACAGCCAAGCGAAGCCGCGCCCGCGCCCGAGCACCACGCGGCGATCCCCGATGTGGTCATCCACGACTTTGGGCAGCCGGCCGAGCGCCACCACCGCGAGCACAAGGAGGAGGAGGACAAGGCGGCCGTGGCTGCGGCCGCCGGAGCTGCCGTGGGCGTGGTGGCCGCGGCTGCCACGGTGGGCGCCGATCCATCATCATCGGCGAAGCCGGTCGACAACAACAGCTGTGCAGGGACCGCCGCCGCTGGCGCTGCGGCCGGTGCGACGAAGAAGAAGGGACTGTCGGGCCTGTTGAGCTTCGCCTACTCGCCGCGCAGCTTCAGCGCCGGGTCGGTGGCTGCGACGGCGGCTGGCGGCGGCGGCGCGTCGCCGCGTCGCGAGCTGTCGAGTTCGGCGCCGCATCCGCCGCTCCTGTCGCCGCGCATGATGTTCCTGCCCTCGCCGCCGCCGCCGCTCCACCTGCCCAAGCCCACGCCGCCGCTCGGCTCCACCGTCGGTTCGTTTCTCCCCAGTCACCGGTCCGTTTTAAGGTGGCGGTAGCAATCGCGAACTCACACGTGGCGCGCTGTGAACGGGCTGCAGGGCACGACCAGGAGCCGCAGGTGGTCTTGGTGCAGAAGTGCTGGCGACGCCGTGTGGCCCGACGCAAGATCCACGAGCTCGGTACCGACCATGATGACATCGATGAATGGTATTTATGTAAGGAATGCTATGTTTACTGACCGCGTTGCGTGAACAGTCATGCACAGTCGGGCGCGGTTCAAGGTGGCCGAGGAGATCGCCGTGACCGAGAAGAACTATGTCGACATTCTTCACACCATCATCGAGGTGGGTTGACACCTGTGGCTTCCCCTCCCCTCTTCCGACAATCGGGCTTACAGCACCGAATGGGTGGCGGCGGTTGGTGGGTGGCGGTTCGCAGGTCTTTATGGAGCCGCTCGCCAAGCAGCTCCCGGGGTGGATCGCCGAACAGAGCAAGGCCAAGAAGGTCAAGGGCGCGCCCGAGCCTCTCGATCCCGCCCTCGTACGCGCTCATCAAACCACCGCACACGCACACACGCACAAAGCACACGTGACACACACCACACACGGCACCGCACGCTCACAGCATGGCGCAGGTGGAGATCATGTTTGGGAACGTGAAAGAGCTGTACAAGATGCACAAGCCCTTCGCGGAGGCGCTGCAGCACGCCATCAAGAACTGGTTTCCCTACCGGCGGATGGGCGTGCTGTTCATGGACGTCGTACGTCGCATTCCACGATCGTGACTGGCCCACCTTGTTGCCGTGCAACAACAACCCAGTTTCATTCCGATTGGCAGCGACTAAACCAGAGATCGCGTTGCATGGAAACACCAGTTGTTGCGCCAGAACGGCTTCCTGGTCGAGTACGGCAAGTACGTGAACGGCTACGGGGCGGCGATCAAGCACTGGAACCAGGCCATGCGCCACCCGGCCTTCGCCCGCTTCATCAATGTACGTTGTTGTCGGCACCACCGCAAGCGTTTGCTGAACGCACTGTGTCGCCACTCCAGACGGCGCTTGACAACCCGCGATGCGCCCACCTCGACTTTTGCTCGCTCATCATCGTACGCACCGAACCCACCAGCCCTCCCCCCGCGACCGTTCCAGACACGCGCACGACTGATCTTCGTTCTTTGTCTTTCCCATTCGCTTTTCTTTCTTTCGGGACCCGCACAGAACCCGGTGCAAAGAGTGCCCCGATACGCGCTGCTCCTGCGAGTGCGTTGCGCCCCTCCCCCCCATTCACAATGCTGTGCCAGAGCTGACCAAGTTCAATCCCTGACGTGGCATGCTACTGCTCTCCAGGACATCCAAAAGCACACGTGGGCGGGCCACGGCGACGAAGAGAGCGTCGCCCACGCCCTCGACAAGATACACATCGTCGCCGAGTACGGTACGGCGGCCTCTCCTCGCGCTCGCCGTGGAGGTCAGCTGAACTCTCCACCCCCCCCCTCCCCAACCCTCGCATTTCACACATTCCGCACTTGTCAAGTCAACGAGGCCAAGCGGGCTGCCGAGGGAATGGAGAGGACGACCTACCTGCAGGACCACATCGACGACAAGAAGCTCGCGGTACCGTTCTCTATGCTCTCGCCCGCGAGCTGATGGGACTGTACAGTCGTAGCTAAACGTGCTGGATTGCACCACCCCAGGCGAGCCTGTCGCAGCCGCAGCGCAAGTACATCAGGGAGGGACCACTCAAGCTCGTCCATAGAAGTGACTTCAAGGACCGACACGTACGTTTCGGCGACCACCACCCCGAAATTCCGTGCCGACCGCGGCCCGCCGTGCGTGTTGTCGTCGTTGTTGTTGGCCTGACCTCTCACCTGCGCACAGGTGGTGCTGTTCAACGACATCGTCGTCATCACCGTGAGCAAACCCACCAGCAAGACGTCGCCACGACTACCGCCGTCGGCCCTGCCCACCGACCTGTGCGTCAAGGTACCGCCAGCACCACGGTTCCCTTTCCGGCTGCTCAGCTGTTGATTCCCTGACCGGCCGTCTCACAGGGCACGATCGAGCTGAAGCACTCGGTGGAGGCCAAGGCGCTCGACAAGCCCGAGCGAGGCCTGCAGCTGACCGTGCACGGCAAGACCACCAAGTGGCAGGCCGCCACGGTCAAGGACCGCGACGAGTGGCTGCGCGACCTCCAGTCCCTCTCCACTCGACCATAACTGAAATTCTGGTCTGCGCCCGGGCCGAAACAACTTCAGAATAATAAAAAATAACAAAAGACACAATATTCAGAGATAATAAATAGGGGCGAGGATGAAGCCGGCGAAGAAGAAGCTGGTACCGAACACCAGCTCCGTGACAGAGCGGTGGAAGAAGAAGGTGGCGATCAAGAAGACCAAGATCCTTCAAGCGATTGCGGTATCGGAGAACTCGGGCTATACAACAGGTACCGATCCCGCCCCACTACTGCTCCTTCATTCGTGGTCCCCAGTTCATCTCTTCTTCTTCTTCTTCTTTTATGGCCAGAGATCAATCATCACCCTCCATTTGTTTGATTTCCACTCTTCCCCATTACCCGTATCGATGATTGCTTTTTGTTTACGCTGCCCATTGCGCCCGCGATAGAATTCAAGGGGAACAATGAGCGAATCAAGGAGCTGGAAAAGAGCTACAACGAGGCTGCGCGTCTCGCCCGCGCCTTGATGCGCGACGAGCAGTGTACGTCGCGCCCACCCATCCACCCGTACAGCTTTATCTCCCCCTCGCGGCAAGTCGCTCATCTCTACGCGCGCGTAGCCTACGCCTCTGCAAGCTTGGCCATGGGGGAGCAGCTGTCGGCCATAGGCGCCCCTGAGAAGCTGAAGAGCATCGCGGGTACGTCTACTACACCCCATCTGGCTCTGACCGACTGCCACACTGCGCTTACCATCATGTACCCGACCGACCCACGCTCGCGCAGGACCCGCCCTGGTGCAGTTCGCAGGCGTGCAGACCACGCTGGGCCAGGCTCGCGAAGAATTCGTACGCAGTGACAGCTCTATTCATTCACTCACTCACTCCTTCGTTCCTCTCTTCCTTTTGGTTTGATTGATGACCCAGGCGTGTGGGCATGTGCCGCTCACATTAACACTTGTGTGTGACTTTTCTTGTTGTACTGCGCGTTACACAGTGCAAAGAGGCGATGAGCTACGTCAACGCCATCGAGAGGTTCACGAAGGAGGAGATCACCCTCGCGCGGGTACGCTGTGCCCACCATGAAGCTATGAAGCGCTGTCTACGCGGCTCACGCACGACACACGCACTCACCACCACTACCACCAACAGAGGGCCAAGCAACGGTTCAGGGAGTCGCGCATTCAGTTCGACACTGCCAGCTCCCAACTCCAGAGCCAGCTTTCATCGAAGACCGACAAGCCCTTGGAACTCTTCTCGGTGCGTCACCACGCTACGTACCGCACGCCGCACACGCATGCGACACACACAACACACCACATACGCACAGGCCACGATGCACGGCGGGTTCTGATGTGAAAGTGCGCGCGCAGGCGTACACGCACTACCACTACGCCAAGCGCAAGTACAACCGCCGCCTGATCGAGGCCTCCAATCGGCTGTCGGACGCCATCGAGATGAAGGAGTTCGTCGTGCTGGAGCACTACGTTCAGTACATGCGAGCGCAGCTCGAGCACCTCCGCGCTGCCTATCAGCACCTGTACAACCTCGACTCCTACATCACCGAACTCCAAATGTACATACACAAGGTATGCACATTCTCTCAGCTGCATTCCATAGAGACTACTTGGAATGTTCATTCATAACATTCCATCGATTCGACCCGACTCCGTAAAACAGCAAAGGGAGCAGTCGGCCGAGCAGAAGGCGCAAAAGGAGGAGCTCAAGCGGCAGCGCGCAATCCTCGCCGAGCAGAACAAGTATCGGCCGCTCGTTGAGGTACCGCGCGACCCCCGCACGACCCGCTGGCGAAATGCGGAAAACTAACGTTCGACGTGTGTCGTGTGGCGCGCCGTGTGTTTGTTAAAGTTGCTGGCCAACCCCGATTTGGCGGTGGTGGGCGCCATTTGCGTGTCGGCGGGGGCGGACCAAGCCCAGACGCTGGAGACGTTGGTGCAGATCTTGGACGCCTACAAGCTCACGCTGCCCATCATCTACATCGGAATCACCAAAGAGGTCAGCGAAACCGGTACGCATACTCGGAATTCCGCGCTCAAAGACCCACACACACACACACACACAACTGACGCGATTCGATGCGCGCAGACACGGCAGCGACTCTGTTCCGAGGCAACACCACGGCGACGAAGCTGATGACGGCCTTCACGCGCCTCACCGGCCGACCCTACATGCTGGCCACCCTCCAGAGCCTCATGAACGAATTCATGGCCTCCAATGATGGCTACGAGGTTTTCGCCACGCCCCTGCAACCCCGCGGGGTCCACACGGATCGCTAACCGAGGCCCGGCGTAATTCGCTTCACGTCTGGGGTGGGTGGTAAATAGGTGGATCCCCTGAAGGCGAAAGAGGGTGACGACACGGAGGCGAACATGCGGAGGCTGCTGGACAACTGCCAGCGGATCATGGACGCCGTCTACTCCACCGCACCAATGATCCCCACGTACGCGACGCTTTGCCTGTTATTCTAATAATTAGGACTATTACTTTTGTTGCTCGGTTGGTGAAGCGCAGTTGGGCCTAACGCGTTATCGCTGTGCTTTTCGTCGGGGTGTGTGTGTGGGTGTGTGTCGACAGCCCGTTCAAGGCGATGATGGCGCACCTGCGACAGGAGTGCGTGAAGCGTTTCCCGGACAGCTATCACAAGTCCATCGCCGGCTTCATTTTCCTTCGTTTCTTCTGCCCGGCCATCCTCTCGCCCGACTCCAACGGCATCACCACAGGTATCCACCAGCCACCACCGCAACGAAGAAGAAAGAACTGAGTTGACGCTCACACTCGCTCGCCCCCCCCCCTTCCCCCAACGACACCAGTGCCGGTGTCACCCGACAGGCGTCGGCCTCTCGTGCTGCTGAGCAAGACGATTCAGAATCTGGCCAACGAAGTGCTCTTCGGTCAGAAGGAGCAGTTCATGCTGCCCGCCAACGCGTTCATCGAGGCCAACAAGGAGCGCATCCATCAGTTCTTCGACGAAATCGCCGTACGTGTGCCCTCTCTCTCTCTCTCTCGACGATCAGGCCGCAGTTGCTCTCGGTACTGACAGCTTGGGTGGGTTTGGGGGGGATTGCGCAGACCGAGCCCGACAACCTGCTGGACTACACGCCGCTGCAGTCGCTGGAGCAGGTCAACAGCAAGCACCTGCCCGACATCCATCATCACGTGGTGAAGAACTTGACCAAGATCGCGCAGTCGCTCATCACCTACGACCAGAAGGAGTCCATCCCGCTGCTCGCCCACATCCTCGCCCAACTCGACGACGAGTCCGATCCGCTCCAGCCGCAATGACGCTTTGCCTTCTTCTCCCTCTCAAATCAGCGGTAAAACATGTACAATTTTGTTTTCTTCTTCTTCTTCTTCTTCTTCTCTCTCTCTCTCTCTCTCTTCCTGCCATCATTGCTGATTCCACCCTCCAGTGGAGTGATCACCCAACACTTGTATCAAGCAAGTGGACAGAAGAGCACTGTGTTTCTTGTCCAGTTGAAAAGTAATCTGAAAAATTGCTGCAATTTTTGTGATTGGCTACGGCGTTGGGTTGGGCAACCACACAGCTGCGGCCCAACTTTTTTCTTTTCCCTTCATCGTACCCGTGACAGTCAAGATGGCGCGCGTCCACTACGTTCTCGCGGTCCTCGCCGCTCTGGCCGTCCTCTTCATCGCCGCTGAGGCTGGCACCATGACTGGTACGCGCACACGAAATCAATAACAAAGCATCAAATGGATTCCATTTCGATTTCTTTCTAAAATTGTCGGGTGGAGCAGCCGAGCAGCAGTTCCGTCAGTTTGCCGCCCAGTACGGCAAGAGCTACGCCTCGGAGGAGTTCGGCGAGAGGCTCAGGATCTTCAGGGTACCCTTGTCCTCTCTCTTTCTCTCCAGCCAAGATGAACAAAAGTTGACGAATGATCGATCATCCACAGGATAACCTGGATCGCATCGATGCCCTCAACTCGGCCAACACCGGCGCCCGCTACGGCGTCAACAAGTTCGCCGATCTCACCCCCAAGGAGTTCAAGGTACCGCACAACGTCAAGTCTTGTTGGCTCTACACGCGTTTTGCGCAATTATTATTTTGCATTCATTATTATTCGTTTTCATGTATTGCATCGGAATGTGTGGTATGCGCGTTGGGTGGTTGGCTGACTAGCGCGTTATTCTTCTTCTTCTGTGCCTGTGGCAGGCTACGTACCTCAAGGGTGCGCGCAGCGCCGGTCAGAAGAAGGCCGCCGCTACCGCCAAGCTCGACATGACCGGTCCCCTCCCCTCCCAGTTCGACTGGCGCGACAAGGGCGCCGTCACCCCCACCAAGGACCAGGGCCAGTGCGGTTCCTGTACGTAACCTGCCCCACTCACCCAGCAGTCGAGCGTTGTTGTGCTGACGTCGTCACGATGTTGCTGGTTCAGGCTGGGCGTTCAGCGTGACTGAGGCGATTGAGAGCCAGTGGTTCCTCTCCGGCCGCAAGCTGGTCAGCCTCGCGCCCCAGCAGATCGTCGACTGCGACCAGGGCAACGGCGACTACGGCTGTGACGGTGGCGACCCTCCCACGGCCTACGAGTACGTGATCAAGGCCGGCGGTCTCGACACCGAGGAGTCCTACCCCTACACTGCCGGTACGCACCTTGACCCCGCCCGACAACATCACACACCGCAGACGCACACGCACACCCACAAACAAGGCTTAACGCGCCGACCAATCGTGCAGAGGACGGTCAGTGTGCCTTCAAGCCCTCTGCCGTGGGTGCCAAGATCTCCAACTGGACCTACATCACCACCACCAAGAACGAGACCGAGATGCAGTACGGTCTTGCCAGCAGGGGACCCCTCTCCATCTGCGTTGATGCCTGTACGCCCACTGCCTCCGCGGGACCCGCGTTGCCGCACACCACTGACCTCCTCCTCCCCCCATCGGCATTCCAGCCTCGTGGCAGTACTACATCGGTGGCGTCATCACCAGCCTGTGCGAAGACAGCCTCGACCACTGCGTCATGTACGTGGACTCCCAATGCGTCCACCCAACCCAAGCTCTGGTCCGCTCGCTCACGGTCTCTCCTCGCTCTCTCTTCTCTCTCTCTCTCTATTCCCTGCGATGTCTAGGATCACTGGCTACTCGGTCCAGGAGGGCTGGGACTTCATGAAGTACGACGTCTGGAACATCCGTAACTCGTGGGGCGAGGATTGGGGCTATGGTGGCTACCTCTACGTCCAGCGCGGCTCCAACCTCTGCGGTACCGAGCTCCGTCCAACCCTACCCACCCACCACACTGAGTAACGACGGACGAGGCCTTGTGAGCTCATCTTTGCCTTTTCCCCCTTTGTGTGAATGCACACAGGTGTCGGCGATGAGGTGACCATTCCCCTCGTGTAAGGGAGGCCAACCGCGACTCGCAGCTCAACTGCAACAACTGCTCTCTGTGTAAAACTTCGACGACGGCCGAAAGAGGCGCCGGGCAAGGGGGGCACGCGTGCGCCTCCCTCTCTCCTTCGCCTGCATGTGCATTGGCAACCTGTGGAAATGCACACGGCCCGTTTGATTTGAACTTTATTCAGCCGTGTGTGCGCACGCACGAGGCACCATTGCGAGTGCGTCGATCGCACACCACGCGGTGCTGGCCTCTGTGCAATGCGTGTAGGTCCGCGCGCGCCTCCTTGCCGCCACCCGACATTTCGGCGGGGGCCGCCTTGTCTCCGCCCACACCGGATCGCGTGCCCCCAGGCCTCGACCTAGAAGCCCTCCTTTGCCTTCTGCTTGGTGTGCTTCTTGGTGGCTCATGGTGCGTTGCGTTCAGTCGACAACACGCGAAATTTCCGATTCGGCCAACCATCAAGCGGGCGAACCTGCGAGTTGTCGGTGATGCACGCGGGGAGGGACCAATCGACTGGGGTGGCGACCCTCCCTCCATCAAGATTATCCACCCTCCCCTGTATCGCGTGTCTCTTCAAGTCCACGGCATCACGCCACCTCCACGCCCCGCATTTGTCGTGCGTAGACGCAGCTTTCTTTTTCAATTCATATTCTCTCTGTACCACCATCAACTCATAACATCATCGTCTACTTTACCACACACACAGCATCATCAACATCAACATCAACAACCCGGTCCATCGATGGCAGAGACAGAGACAGGCGCGCAATCGGTCAGCCCAGGGCATCCGGCGCCAGAGCCTGGGTGGCCGAGCCCAGTGGCCGCCAACGCCGCCGCAGCGGCCGGCGGAGGGCCTGGGCTGACCCTGGGCCAGGCCCTGCTGGCCGGGAGCGAGGGCCAGCAGCAGTACATCCACACCGTGCTGCAGCACATCACGACGGCGGCGGCCGAGAAGTACGCCTCGCACCGCAAGCGCAAGCATCGACGACGATCGTCCGGTGGCGATGACAGGAGGAAGAAGGGACATCGGCACGAGAAGAAGGAGAGGAGAAAGAGGCGGCACGATGACGAGGAAAAGGAGGGTGGAGGAGGTGATGACCCGCGAAAGGTGACGACGTCGCCTTCTTCGTCATCAGCGTCTTCTTCGACGGACGAGGAGGAGGGCGGGAAGGAGTGGAAACGAAGGCGGAGGGAGAGCACGATGTCGCCCCTGCTCAAGATGGTCATGTCGGACCTCTCACGAGGCTTCTTCGAGCTCAAGGCGGCCGGCGTCCACAGGTCAAGGCAAGGCGGACTCCCCCAGGGTCTGGGGCTGGGCGAAGGCCTGAGCCTAGGCGCCACGTCAGCTTCTTCTACTTCAACGACGTCTACATCACTCCATCACCACCCTCCCCAGCGCGCCTCCTTGCCGCAGCCGCACTCGAGGCCACTACTTCCACTTCCTCGAAGCAATAGTCGACCTTCACCTCACGCGGCCACCCCAGCTGCGCCATCATCGTCCTCTCTACTCGAACCGCCTCGCTTCCCACTCATGACCGACGATCGACGGCTCCCGCTCCCTCTGCCTCTTGCCTCCTCCCCTGGCTTGGCAACTGCTTCATACCACCGGCACCCTCCACCCTCATCCCCCTCGCCCTGCGTAGGGCAAGGCCAGGCCTATCATCCGCCTCAGCGAGCCTATCCCCCACATCAAGTAGTACCAGGTCGCCAGCTGCAGCAGCCTCGTCAGTGGCCAATGCAGCAACTCCAGCCGCCGCAGCAGCGTCAACACCACCACTTTCCTCACTACCACCATCAGCATCGCCATGGGACTCAGCAGCCCTCCGAGTGGAGCTCGGCCGACCCGCCCTCCGATGGAGACGCGGAATCGCCCTCGGTCGGTGAGGCCACACGAACGCAGCATCTGCCTTCGATGATGGCTCCTTCTTCCGATCAACAACACGACCTCACGTCCGAGACTGAGATTCAGTCCGGTCGCGTGGTGTGGCGCCGAGGTCCGCCCATCCTCCCTCCGCCCATTCCGTCGCTGTCGTCAGCGCCCCACTTCCTCGGCTCGACGCCTCGAAGTCTGCTCCCGTCCTGGCCTTCTATGGGAACCTACTCGCCCGCCTTCGCCCAGCACCAGCTGCACCTCCCTCCCCCAAGCGATGGCCTCCACTTTTAGCCTTTTGTGCTTCTCCTTGGCCAATTCCAGGAAACAAACAGAGTTGAAACAATTTTTTGAAATTTGAGCCCAGTGAGGGGGGGTAAAAGGAAAAAGAAAGGCTTGGAAGCAAGGACGCAGATAAGAAGAGATGGCGGGCTATTCGGATCTCGACCGCCAGATTGAGCAGTTGAAGCGATGCGAAATCATCAAGGAGTCGGAGGTGAAGGCCCTGTGCGCCAAGGCGCGAGAGATTTTGGTTGAGGAGAGCAACGTTCAAAGCGTCGATTCTCCCGTTACCGTACGAATGCGCTTCCATTTATTACTGCATACTGCCGCCATTTTCACCCTGCAGCCCTCCAGCCCTCTCTTTCCATCTGCCGTCCTCACCCCACCCATTCATATGCATACATGTAGATTTGCGGCGACATCCATGGTCAATTCTACGATCTCAAGGAATTGTTCAAGATCGGCGGCGACTGCCCTCAGACCAACTACCTTTTCTTGGGTGATTTTGTGGACCGAGGCTTCTATTCAGTCGAGACCTTCCTTCTTCTTGTTGCCTTGAAGGTACGACACAGCCCTCATCTTGCCCAGCCCTTGCATCATTCGTCCCCCCTCCCCCAGTTTGAAATCTTCGACGTCCTTGCTAATTCAAATCGGTGCAGGTACGGTACCCTGATCGGATCACGCTGATCCGCGGAAACCACGAGAGCCGGCAGATCACCCAGGTCTATGGCTTCTACGACGAGTGCCTGCGCAAGTACGGCTCTGTCAACGTGTGGAGATATTGTACAGAACTGTTCGACTACATCTCGCTGTCGGCCATGGTCGACGGAAGGATCTTCAACGTCCACGGCGGTCTTTCCCCCTCTATCACAACGCTCGATCAGGTCTGCCTTCCTTCCTCGCCCGTGCTTGCTTCTGCCTTTACCTGCGCTGCTCGTTGGCGTGTGCTCACTGTGCGTGCGTCTTCCCTTTGCTCAGATCCGAGCGATCGACAGAAAGCAGGAGGTTCCTCATGAGGGACCTATGTGCGACCTCCTGTGGTCTGACCCAGAGGGTACGCTCTCCGCTGCGCTTGCAAATGAGTGGCAAGCAACGAGCATTGTTAACTTTAGTGTCCGCTGCCGTTCTAGACATCGACGGCTGGGGCTTGAGCCCTCGCGGTGCTGGCTACCTGTTCGGAGGCGACGTGGTGTCGCAGGTGAGACTCCCCCTTCTTTGTCCGGTTGTTCTTTCGTGTCTGCTTGGCTGTTCTCATGCGCTCTTGAATGTTCTTCTCCTCACTCTTGCAGTTCAACCATGCCAACAACATCGACCTCATCTGCCGAGCACATCAGCTGGTGATGGAGGGGTACAAGCACATGTTCAACGAGACCCTCGTCACTGTGTGGTCAGCGCCCAACTACTGCTATCGGTACCCAAGCCTTACCCCTTCGAGTGTTCCTCTCCCTTCTCTCCCTCTTCAACCCCACTGACCCCTTGCTCGCCGTGGCCCTCTTCACTCTTCGCTACGCAGTTGTGGAAACGTGGCGGCTATCCTTGAGCTGGACGAGCACCTCAACAGGAACTTCAAGATTTTCGAAGCCGCGCCCCAGGAGGTCCGAGGCGTGCCCGCCAAGAGACCCGCCCCCGACTACTTCCTCTGAACGAGGTCGTTCCTCGGAGCCAACCCAGCTCGCTCTCTCTTCTCCACCAACAACTTCCTCTTCTTGTCACCGCCACAAGAGCAACGCACGCTGCGACGAGTGCCTTCGCCAGCCGTGCGCACTTGCCCAGTGGCTAGCCGTACAACACACATCTTTTCCACAGTGTGGCGTCGTGTTCTTCGCCTGGCAATCAATGCACACACAACACCCCAACCATTGTTCTTGTCACCATCATCACCATCATCAAGTGGTGGCTCCTCTCCTTGCGTCGCACTGGGCGAAGCTTGCTACGTTACCACCGGTTGGTGCGCAACAGCAACGCGGAATTTCAAATATTGGTAGCCAAGGCACGCGTGTCGACACTCAGTTTTTGGCAGTCCACGTCACGGCGGAGTTTGAATGAGAGCGAAAGCGGGCGTACGATTGGCCGCAAGGGGGGATCGCGACCATTGGCCGGGGGTTGCGCCAACGCGGAGGCCACCAATTTATGTGCGGGGGCCACGGAGAGGGCTTTTTGTAGCTTTGTTCTTCGCGCAGTCCACCAAACCACCCTTCTTCTTCTACCCCTCTACATCAACATGTCCGGCATTGCTGTCTCTGACGATTGCGTCCAGAAGTTCAACGAGCTCAAGCTCGGCCACCAGCACCGTTATGTCACCTTCAAGATGAACGCCTCCAACACCGAGGTGGTCGTCGAGCACGTCGGTGGCCCCAACGCCACCTACGAGGATTTCAAGTCGCAGCTCCCCGAGAGGGACTGCCGCTATGCCATCTTCGACTACGAGTTCCAGGTTGACGGCGGTCAGAGGAACAAGATCACCTTCATCCTCTGGTACGATCATCAATCCATAGTCCTCCTTTTCCTTTACCGCTCTCTATTGGAAGTGGGGGCGACTTGATTGTTAGAATTGGCGCTTTTCACGACCATTTGTACAGCTTCTTACCCTCTTGTTCCTCATTTTAGGGCTCCCGACTCTGCCCCCATCAAGTCCAAGATGATGTACACCTCCACCAAGGACTCCATCAAGAAGAAGCTCGTCGGCATTCAGGTTGAGGTCCAGGCCACCGACGCCGCTGAGATCTCCGAGGATGCCGTCTCCGAGAGGGCCAAGAAGGACGTCAAATAGACGACTTCCCTCTGTCCCCACCTCTGCTCCCTAGTGAGACTAGAGCGAGGAGGCGATCGTGTACTAGTTAAATCTACACATCCCACCCTGGCTCTCGCCTCTCTTCTGTGCCGCTGATGTCGCATCCGATCTTGGATGCCCCACCAGCGGCCATCCGTAACATAACTCAAAAACTTAAAAAATATTCAACATACCTTCTCGCCCCATTCCTTGCATTCTTTCCACACGCGCTGAAATTCTGCGGAAGTTGTCTCCTTATTTTATTCGCAGCGAGTAGAAGCACAAATCGGGAGTGATTCAGCAACAATCAAGCGTTGAAAGCAACATCAGACGTCCGAATCGATCAGTAGAGCCTGCACGAAGCCGGATAGAAAGCTAATCAAACGGTAGAACCAAGATCTCACCTTCATGTCGAGGAAATCGGACAAAGTAATCATCGAGCGCGAGTCGTGGGAGACGCCAGGCAGCCCCGACTACCTGGCCGCGAAGCTCACCATCGTCAATGCGCAGGTGGCCCTGCGGCCCGGCCGCAAGAAGGGCCAGCTTGGCGATGCGCCCGACCCCTACGTCGAGATCGAGTACGCGGGCCGCATCTGGGAGACCGCCCTGGTGCGTGCCACCCAGCAGCCCAAGTGGAACGAGACCTTCGAGGTGCCCATCCCGCCCGAACGACGCAACCAGCTGGGCGAGATCGGCATCCGGGTGTGGGATCGCAACAACAGCAAGAAGAAGGGCACCAAGGGCCAGATCTTCCTGGGCGAGGTGCGCCTCTCGTTGGGCGACTTCGGCGGGGTGAACTTCGAGTACGTGGAGCCGCGGCGCTACCGACTGCGCGCGAGGTCGCCCACATCCAAGGACGACTCTGTCGATGGTAACATCACGTTCAAGATCGGCATGGTCCTCCCCAAGAAGCGAGCCTTCCAAGAGTACTCTAACCCCACCAAGATTGCCCCCCCGGTGCCGGCACGAGATTTCTAACTTCCTTTCCTTCTCCCATCTCCTGCAACCAGCTTGCATCCTACGGGACCCAACGGCGAACGCTCCACGCAGAGCTTGTACGCCCCCCCCCCCTCCGCTTTCGCTCTCTCTTCGTTCTTCGTTCTTTGTTCTTTGTTTTCCTCGCGACGACATTTTTTTCTTTATCTTGGGCTTGTTCAGAATAAGGACCCCGGCCTGACTGACGCACCGCCGTTGCTGTTCCTGCAGGATCGCCGAGTCCGAGTCCATTGCCGATGACTCGTATGAAAGCGTCATGCGCTCGCTGGTATGCTACACTCTTTTCTCTCCCTTGTTCCAACAATCGTCATCCATCTAAACAATCGCTATCGTTCGCGCGAACAGGCACTCGCAGAGAACACGCGCCAAATCGGAGCCGACACGCTCGAGAGCCTCGGCAAGCAGGGCGACCAGCTCCGGCGGATTCAGGAGGAGATGGACGACATCGAGGAGCTGCAGGATCGTGCTGACCGCTCGATGCGGACCATCACCTCCGTGGGTGGTGCTCTGGCCAACAAGTTCGCCCCGAAGAAGAGCCGCAGGGTGCGCCTACACACGCACACACACCACAACAAAACACACACGCACACACGCACACTCACGGTTCCCTTGACAATCGATCCCGCACAGGACCACGTGACGAAGGGCGACAAGATGCGGGACAAGCAGAAGCCGGGACGAGACACGGCGCTGGAAGAGGCCGAGGAGGAAGAGGAGGAGCGCATCCGCCAGCACAAGCGATCGGGCCAGCACTTCCGCGGCAAGCACAACGACCGCGGCGACCGCTCGTCGAACCTCTACAAGGAGGACTTCTCGCACCTCGGCCAGGACTCGCAGCAAAAGATCAAAGAAACCGACAAGGGTCTCGACCGGATATCCGATCTGCTCGACGACATGAAGCTCATCGCGCTCGGTACCGTCCTTCTTCTTCTTCGTTCTTCTGCAAGGGCCGTGCGCACCATGGCTGACCACATTTTTTTTTTTTAAAATGTTCATTTTGGCGCGGTAGACATGGGCGATGAGATCAACGACCACAACAGGAGGCTGGAGATCCTCAACCGCGACATCGACACGGCCAACGTGCGCATGAAGCAAACCAACCGGAAGATCAAGGATCGCCTCTGATCAGGGGACAGCGGGCTGTTGGCTTATTTATGGCTTATTTATTTATTTTTTTGGCCTTGGCGGTTCGCCTCCAGAACCGCAAGCGGACACCAGCGACTGTACAGCGACCCTTCTTCTCCGCTGCCTGCGCCATAACCCAGCCACCAGCACCAAATACATCCGCGCAAACAAAGGGCTCTTCTTCTTCATGTTGTTGTTGTTGTGTGGAATGGTCAGACAGTGATGGCCTCCACGGTGCCCATGGCCGACCGCGCGTCGTAGAAGAACAGATTGTGCACCTCAGGCTCGCCTGCACGGAGGAACACACCGCACACACGACACGTGCTTAGCGCGATGACACTCACGCGCAGAGAAAGAGGCAGAGGGAGATCGCACCCTTGGCCGAGATGACCTTGATGACCTGTTGACCGAGGATGCCGCCCACAATCGCGCAGATCGGGCTCAGCTCCGCTCCCGCCGTTCTCGCCGTCTCACTGAAGGGAAAAAGCAGAAAAGAGAGTGCCGCACGAGCAGGAGACTCAGTCTCTGATCGCACGCGCACACAGCAACGGACACACGCACGCGGAGAACGCACAGCAGGAAATCGTCGGTGAGGAAGTTGTCTCGCAGGCTATGCTTCTTGAGGAAAGCGTTCTTCTGCTCCACGAGCCTCGCTTGCTCATCGCTGGTGAGGCCGTACGGGCGGCGGCCGTGTTCCCCGCTCCACATGTACAACACTTCACCGCACACACGCACACGCACACACGCACCTTCAGTGAATTGACTGCGCGGGAGGGAGGGGTGAAGTCATGGCGGTGCACGCGTACGTAGGGAGGCAAAGAAGAGTTTGGGTACTCGTCGCATGGAAGCATGGCCCCAGTTCACCTTGTGCACGATGTCGAACAGCGGCGAGGCGGCAACAACGGTGCCTGTACCACACACACACACACCCCGCACACACACACACACACACACACGACACACACACGTGAGGAAGGCGCGAAAATGATCATCTTCAGCGGGAGCGAGACCTGTCTTGGGCGCGGGAGGCTCTTCGGCTTCGGTGCGTTGACGTTTGACCGGCGGCTGCGCGTCGACGGCGCCGCTGCGCTTGCCATTCTCCTTCTCCTTCTCGTCCTCCTTCGGCTTCTCCTCCTCCCTGGCGTGGCACGACACGCAACACACACCGCACGCGGTGGGTCAGCCAAGTGGTCGCCGGCGCGCGCGCCGGGCGAAGCTGAGACGGGGATAGCGCACACAATGTAGCTGTGGCCGCCCAGATCGGCGAAGAAGAAGGCGCGGTAGCCGAACGAGTCGGCGGCGTAGAAGGGGATGCCGTGCTTGCGGCAGATACCGTTCACCTTCTCCTGCACCGGGCCGCACACAACACGACACGACACGACACGACCAACGACACGACACGACCAACGACACGACACGACCAACGACACGATACGACCAACGACACGATACGACCAACGACACGACACGACACGACACGACACGACACGACACGACACGACACGACACGACACGACACGGCCAACGACACGACACGACACGACACACAACAAGACGTGGGGCGAGGTCAGCACAACAGCTGTGTGTAGGATTGCGCGTGGGCGACGTGGGGCGACGAACGATGGTGGCCAGGGTCTGGGTGGAGATGCAGATGACGTTGAAGGCGCGCAGGTAGTCCTCGTCCTTGTCGGCGATGTCGGCGCTCTCGAACGTGAGCTTGGCCTGCGGGTTCAGCACCTGGATGCGCTCCAGCGCCTCTGCCCTCTTGAGGTGCCACATCAAGGAATGAATTAAATTCGTGTAGCAAGATCAAAAAGGATGAAAGATGGACGGCATACCGTCTTGCCGACGTCCTCCTCGCGTAGAAAGAACTGGGCGGCCAAATCGGATGGGCGGATGGGATCCCGGTCGAGGATGGTGACGTTGTTGACACCGGCAAGCACCAGATTCTTGCACACCTCGGTGAGGATGCCGCGAAAGCCGGCCAGCAGCACATTCGCCACGCGCAGCCGCTTCTGGGCATCGGCGCCCCACAGCCGGATCTGGCGATCGTAGAGGGCTGCCTCCTCTTCCGTCAAAGACGATGCCGCTGATGTGGGCTCCACCTCCATCTTGTGCTGTTGGCCAATTTGTTTTCTCCCTGCTTTTCCTGTTGTGTTTTGATTTCCCGTGATGGCCACATCCTCACTGTCTTCACATGCTCTGGACACGACTCTGGGCAAGCCGGCTGCAGGAATGCCCGTGACCCTGTTTGCCAACGCGCAAGGTCTCACCATCACTCTCCCACTTGCATTCGGGAGTAATCTGCGATCTTTACTAACAACATTGCGTGCCCACAGGCGAGGACTGGACGGAGCTCAGCAAGGCCGCCACCAACGCCGACGGCCGAGGTACTACTCACCACTATGCTGCCCCCCACATCGATGCCGCCTTGTTTGCACTTGTCTCATCCATTTCGCGCTGAACACCAGCCACCAAGGACAACTTCCCCGCGCTGGCGCCTGGCCTCTACAAGGTGCGCTTCGACACGACGACCTACTTCAGGCAGGCCGGCGTCGAGAAGTTCCTCTACCCCTACGTCGACATCGTCTTCCAGCTCGAGGCCGGCCAGCACTACCACATCCCCCTCCTCATCAGCGCCCACGGCTACTCCACCTACCGAGGAAGCTGAACCCGAGCGTGTGCGGTCGTGTGCGTGTCGTGTCGTGTCGTGTCGTGTGGTTGATAAATAACAACGCTCATTTATGTAAACGAGAGTAGAACATGTTAGAAGGAAGAAGAAAGGAGATGAAGGAAGAAGCTTGCGCCTCCGTCCCCGGCTTAGAAGGACGGTGCTGGCAAGCTCTTGGCGGTGCTCGTGGTGGCGGGCAGATGCGACTAGAAGAGCTTCTTGACGACGTCCTTGCGGGCCATGGTGACGTTGTTGGGCAGGGCCACTACGACGGCCGTCTCCTGGTTGTAACGGAAGTGGTCGGCGACTGTTTGGAAAGAAGAAGAAGAAGAAGGAGACGTGAGGTGTGAGATGGGCCAAGACCAACGCAAACAAACAATGATGAGGCCAATGAAGGTGGAATGCAGGAGGTGGGAGAGCGTACCGACGATGTCGCCATACTTCTTCATCGTGTACTCGAGGAGCTTGTTCTGCTTGACCTTACGGAAGTTCCACGTGATGATGTAGGGTCCGGTGGAGGTGACGATGCTACGCTCCTCATCGGATTCGCCGACGTTGAATCGCGCCGGCGTGAAGCTCACCTTCCCCTCCATCAGTTCAACGTGCTCGGGCTTGAGCCTCAGGATACGCGGCACGGGCTTCTCCTTGCCCATCGTCGACTGTTAGCCCAAACAAAGAAGAAAACGCAAACGATGGTTTGTCAGCAAAGCAAATTCGCAGCACTGCGCGCAGGAACGAGTGTCGGGCGACGGAAATAGGACCTCGAAACCGGTAGTTCCCCTCTCCAGGGCAGTGGAGGCCACAAGCAGGTAATTGCGGCAGGTGGCCAGAATCCACTTGCCATCGGCGGTGACATCAATACCGATGATGGGGTCTACACACACACACACACACACACCAGAAAGAGCGCCAGAGTTAGGCCTGTGCATCGCAGAAGTGACGAGAAGAAGCGAAAAAGGACTGGTGACGTACCACCGAGACCGGGGAGGGTAGTCTTGGCTCGTGGCTTGAGCCGGGCCAGAGGGTCGATGTCCCTCGAGAAGGTCTTATCAGAGAACAGCCGGATCTCACCCTTGCGGCTGCCCATCACCATGTGACCGTTCTCGGTGGTCGCCATGCAGCTCAGAGCAGGCGCGGACTTGCCGTACATGTAGCTGCACCGCAACAAGGAAGACGGGGAGCGCCCACACATAATCAAGGAGTTGATCATCGATTGCTGGGAAGAAATGGGGTGACGAACCTGCGGCTCGACACCTGCTTCTCGCCTGGCAGGCGAGGGTCGAGGCGGTAGAAGGACTGGCCGTTGAGGCCCATCAGAGTAGGCGTGGACGTCGTTTGTGCGTACTTGGTCTCCGGGCACACTTCCTTGATGGGGTACTCCCTGGCCGTTTTCTGAGCAATAGAAGGAGGAGGAAGGTAAACCCAGGATCCAAGCAAGGGAGGGCATGTCAGGGGTGAGGCTAGCTTACCCATTCCTCGACGACGTCACCGCGGGTCAAGTCCATCTTGAAGACCTTGTTCTGCTCGGTGGGGTGAAGCAAGAGCAGGTTCTCATCTTCGTTGTGGAGCATCAGCCTGTCGCAGTGTCCACGACATCAAACAAGTCAGCGACCACACCAAAGCTGTTCAACATTCAGCAGCGCTAGGGGGAGGGCGTACTTGCGCGGCTGGAAGCGCTGTCCGCTCGGGGTCTTCACATTCTTAATAGTCGTGCTGAACTTGAGGCGGTTGTCCGGCGTATGCTTGAACACTCCGATCTGGGAACCGCGCACCACGAAGGAACGATCGTACTTGTAGCCGACGGCAAGAGCGCTGTTCTTGGCGTTCTTGTCCTGCTCTGATACCTCCTCCTCTTCGTCATCGCTGTCCTCTTCCTCTTCGGGCTGCTCTTCCTCTTCTTCCTCTTCCTCCTCCTCGTGCTTATCCCCTGCGGTCTCCGGCTTCTCTTCCACGAATTCCATCTTGTCGAACTCTGTGCGCGACAGTGGCAGTGAGCAACATAGTGGCTGCTACGGCGTAGTATCGCGGATCGTACCTTGAATACCATCGTCCTCCTCCATGCCATCGACCTCGTCAGCGTAAGCGCCCAGAATCCAATCGACGTCGTTTTTCTGATACGCGCAAAACATAAGCAAGTTCGCTCCACCCACAACAGATCAGCTGACGGGACGTACCGCGACTTTGGCGAAGGGAGTAGCGGTGTTCGTCTCCCACAAGAACTTGGAAATGTCCTGCTTGAAGTCCTCGTTGACCTGCTCGTCGTGGAAGACCAAGCTGAACGTGTGCGTGACGCCCTCGTGGACGTAGGCCCACACAACGGACTTGTGGGTCTCATCGAAATAGATGTGCATGTCCGAGCCCACCTGCTGCGCGAGGGTGATGACGCCCGACTGCAAGATGTACAAGTAGTCTGCATGCCCCATCAATCCCTGTGAGCAAGCAGCGTTGAAGCACAACGAGGCGGTGGAGTGAGGCGTACACGTGATCGCTTCCTTGGAGTGAACAGTGTTGTTGACGGCGACTTGAACCTGGCTCTCGATAAGGAGGAAGGTGCCGGTCGAGGCGCTGTACCGGAAGAAATCAGCCGCGTAGTTGCCGACGCACTTGCCCTGCCTCTTCTGCTCCACGGGCGGAGGAGGCAGCGGCGATCGCATGAGTTCAATGGAACTGGGCGACAGCGAGTCGGGCGTCATGGCGGGCGTCGCCGGCGTGTGAGGCACAGAGCTAGACGAAGTGGACTTGATGGGTGTGTGCAGCTGTGCCTCGGCATGCCTCACTGCAGGCTCTCTGTAGAACACACGACAGACATGGGCGGTTGGCTCAAGACAAGTAGATTGATGAGCAAATCATGAATGCGCACCTGGGCAAGAGAATTGCACGGAGATCGTCGGGGCTAGCGTCTACAGCAGAACGTTCATAGATGGCCTCGTACATGGAGTAGCGTAGCCGAGCCTCGAAAAGCTCGACAAAATCGTCCTCCCGATCGAATTCAAAGAGATAGCGGGTTGCAACACCAAACTCATCGCTTGTGAATGTCCAACTGAAGGCAGCGCGCTCCAGAGGACCAATCTCTTTGGCCAAGTCCATGCCCTGGTGCAGGGGGAACGTCATCTCGGGCGGCACTGCAGAATCGTGGTTAGGATTACAATGTGCAAGTGGAGGTACACCTAAGAGGGAGGTGGTACGATCGTAGTCCGCATCTCCCTCATCCTCGCGAGTGATCTTGAGGATGGCAGTAAAAGATTCGCGACCGTTCTCCAGGTCTGCCCTCGCGGCGTTGTATCTGGTGGAGAGATTTTAGCATCATTACATGCAAGCAAGCTTGTGGAAGAGGAAAACATACAGGCAAGTCCACGTGCCCGCCTTTTCGATGTAGAAGGTGCCCTCAGCTTGGAGCTTGGGGGCTGCATTCTCGCTCCAGCCAAGGATCGATTTGAGCAAATTCATGTCGCGTTCCGATGTGCCTGTTGGCCTCAAGGATGTAAGGATGATTTGAATCTTCGTTGATCTGCGTTCTGCTTTTGCCGCCTTTTCTTTGGCCAACGGAAATTTTCTGCCGGGGCTGCTGACGTCACACCAGCGGACAAGAAGACGAACACGAAGAGAGATGGAGGAAGCCGACCTTAGCGTGCCCCTGTTCAGCGGAGTCAGCATCAGTGCCAGAGAGGTACGATGCTCGCCTGACCCGACGGAGGAGAAAAAACTATTTCAACTGATTAAATGCAATTTAAATGCATTCTAGCCCGAAGAGGATGACAAGGCCGACCTGCTAGGCAAGCGTGTGGTAGAGGAAGAGGAGGAAGAGGACATCTTTTCCTATAAAAACAAGAGGCTCGATGAGGATGATCTCTTCGGTGGCCTCGACGATCCCCTCGCCAAGTAAGTTTCGCTCTCCTTTTCCGCTTACCGTTCGGTCACTGCACTGGGCGGACTTGATCGTAACGAGAAGGGCTCACCCCTGCGTTTCGGCCTGGCTGCAGGAAGAAGCCGGCAGCCAAAGTTGGTGAGGGTCTGTTCATCGACGATGAGGTGGCGGCGGATATGCTCTCCCATGACTTCAACGACCTCCTTCTGCTGAAGGCGGCAGTACGTGCTACCTCAAGATCCTGTCTAGCCACACTTCAGCACACACACACACACACCACACACACACACACACACACACACGACACACACACACACACACACAATCCTCACCTCTCACCTTTTCAATTGGCCGCTCCACAGTCGCACAAGGATGAGGGCGTTTTCAGAGCACGGCCCAAGGCGGTCGAGCTGGCTGCTGCAGACGAGGACGATGTCCGCGTTCCTGACGTGTATGCACGCCTTTCTTCATGACTGTTTGTCGATGGTCACGTGTTCCTTACCGCCGTCTTCATTCTCACCAGGGACTTGGAGAGCATCGAGGGCCTGCAGAAGAGGACTTCGGCACAAACGAAGCCAAAGCGACAAGCGCCAGCCATCGGGGTAAGCTCGGCGATGGTGGTTTTCATTCATGAAGGGCACTGTGATCCATCTCTCGCGGACTGATAGTCATGGTGCGTTGTCCACTTGTCCACATGCCTACAGGGAGGAAGTGGCATCAAGCGGGGCAACAGCAAGCTGGCCGCACCGACGACGCTCGATGACGAGCTGTTTGGGCTGATTGGCGACACAAGCACCGCCGGAGGAAGCGGGAACACCACCTCCGCTGCGGATCCGCTCGATGACATCTCCTCCTACATCGCCCGACAGCAGCAGACCACCAGCAAGGGTCTCTTTGATGACTAAGCATCTTTCTGTTTATGCAGCAAAGATCTTGAAACTTTTACAGGAAAAAGAAACGAGAAGACGGGAGATGAAGGAGGGGTCGCGTTGGGTGCCTGTGGTGGGCTTCTTAGACGACTCGATGAGGACACTGGTTGAAGAAGTGGTTGGGCAGGCCGCAGTAGTTGCAGGCGTAGGGGTCAGTCACCTTTTCGCCCCTGAAGTTGAGCTTGGGGCTGGTGAGCCTCTGCCGGTCTACATCAGTGGAGTGGAAGCAGGGAAGGTGAACAGGTCGACGGCAGCGAGGGCAGGGCGCCCTCCTTGATGAAGAGGAGCTTGACGTGGGCGACCGGGGCTTCGACGAAGATGGGCTCGAGGAGGGGGAAGGGGCCGGCAGGCCATGAAGAGGGTCTCCTTCGTTGGCATTCCTCTGGTTCGGAGTGCCGTCGGCGGAGGACGGAATGGAGAAGAAGGCGTCGTACGCGTACTCCTCCTCCTCCTCGATGAAGTTGTTGTGGTCAGTGGCGGTGGCTTCAGCACCGGCGAGGGGGCGTTGGATCACCTCGTGTGGCGTCCCGTAGAGAAACTCATCGTCCTCCTGGTCTTCCTCTCTCGCTTCTGCTTCTTCTTCAATGGTGGCCAGCAGGTCGACTGGCGCCGGTGGGCTGAGCGGGGAGGTGGTAGGGGTGTTCTTCTTGTCAGCTCTGGGCGCTGGAGTCTGAGACCGAACGAGGTGGATGAAGGTCGCCAGGAGAGCAAAGATGACGAGCAGCGCCGCCAAGCCGATCGCCTGATGAGACAAGCAGAGGCCGCCCACCAGCAGCGGGCAGTCGTAGAGCGCCACCGGGTTGGTGGTCTGGGGCATGGGGAATGCGTGGCGGTGCTTGTGCGGGTTTCGTTGGAGCGGTTGTGGGTTTTGTGGTTGTGAGGAGGGTTTGGCGGAAGAGAAGGAGTGTGGTAGGCGCAGAACTTCTGGGGTCAGAGCTCGAACGCGAGTGGCTCGCAGCATTCGTTTAAGGTGGCGCAGTTCGCGTAGCCAATCCGCTTTTGTCGAGGCCTTATATGAAAACTCGTGTGGTGCGGTCGTGTTCGGCAACGCCCTATCTGGTGCGTTCTCCGCCACACATTCTTCGCGGAACTTGGTCATGGAAGAGGAGAGCCAGCACCCGCTCTCGCTTTGCGGCACCCCCACTTCCTCGCCCGTCCTGCCACTGCCACCACTACGGTGCCTCCAACCTTCGCCAACCTTTTCCTTTCATCTCGCAGTAGATTAAATAATACATAATAAATAATAATTTTTGTTTTTAATTATGATTATTTTTATTTGGTTAGAGTGTCGTTGGGGTCCGCGCTCGGTGGTGAGGGCGATGTGGCCATCAGCCCGGGGACCACCTACGTGGTGCGGCTGGAACTGCGTCCGCCCGCGTCGTTCGCCTCGCAGCCGGTCCACCGGCTCGTCCTACACGCTCCGCCCGCGCCCAACCCATCACAGGACGTCGCCAGGGGTGCGCCATGGCCTCTCGCCTCAACGTCAACGCAACAACCACTAAACGATCCTCTATGCCGTGCGTGTGTGCGTGTGTGCATGTGTGCGTGTGCGTGATGAAGGAGTGCTGGAGTTGAAGCTGGAGGTGCTCAAGGACGGACTTGCGCTGCCGCTGGTGGACACGCTGAGCTTTCACAAGAAGAAGAACGAAAGGCGGAGCTACCTCGAGCACGACCTCAAGAACACGCCGCTGGCCATCCACCTGAGCGAGCTCCGCGAGGACCGGCCCGAGGGCCGGTCCTACAGCAGCGCCATCTACGTGCGCTTCAACGTGCGCGGGAAGCAAAGCGAGCGGTGGTTTCTCCGGGCCAGCGTGCCCATCCTCGGCCCGCGCGTCCAAGTCGACATTCCACTCACATTCCATGGCGGCAAGCGAAAAGCGGTCGCGCCGTCGCCGTCGCCGTCGCCGTCTCCAACGTCGTCGCAGCAGCTGTGGACACCATCACCCTCACCCTCACCCTCACCCTCTTCTTCTTCATCGTCGTCGTCGATGACGAATTCCATTTCGGCATCGCCTTCATCGTCGTTGCCTTCGCCTTCGCCTTCGCCTTCGCCTTCGCCCCAGCCCACGCCCCTCCAGCCGCGCAGCTCCCCCGCGGCCGCGGCACCGCCATCCCACGTCATCCAGCGCCTGCTCCACCTGATGACGCCCGGAAGCGCCCAGCGCGCCGCGACCGCCGCTGCAGCCCAAGTCGAGCCATCGCCGCCCGCAGTCCAGGCCACCGAGCAGCGGCCGCCGCCCGCCGCCGCGTCACCACCCCCGAAGCCCACCACCGCAGCGACGGCGACGGCGACCGCCCCGGCAGCGCTGCCGCCCCACACGCAGCTCATGAGCACCCGGAGCGAGGTCAAGAAGGTCATCCCCGACGGCGCCCGCCTGCGCTCGCTCGACGAGAAGATCGTGGTCCACATCACCGGTGCGCCTCACCTAGCCCGACTGCCCGCACTGCATTGCGCTGACAGCGTGTGTCGTGTGTCTCGTGTGACACGACACACAACCCAGGCAAGGAGCTGTTGGAGCATGGCGACCACCTCGACGTGCGTCTGCAGTGCGACTTCTTCGACGTGACGCTGCCGGCCACAGCCGAGAGCCGCATGGCCAACAAGCGGCAGGAGGTGCGCTTCACCCCTCGGCAGCTGTTCGGTGGGACCGTCATGCATCTGGTGGCTACCGACCGGGTCAAGTGCCGCCTTAGCTTCTACTGCGCGGGCGTCCATATCGCCGCCTGGCAGCGCTTCACCTTCACCATCGACGCACCGCTCCAGCCGACCGAGCCGGCCTCCGATTCTGTCGCTGACAGCCGGGCTGCAGCCCGAGTCGCCCAGAATCAGATCGACACGCGTGAGGCCGACGAGCCGGCGGCCAAGCGACCGCGCACCACCGCCTACGACGAGCCGGCCCAGCCACCACCACCGCTACAACAACAACAACAGCCTCAGATCGAGGCAATGGAGCACACGGCACAGGAGCGGCTGCAGGGCGGTGAAGTGGTCGCCGAGCCCTGCGAAGAAGAGGACACGGAAGAGGAGTTCGGCGGTGGCGGCAACTGGCCGAGGACGACCCCAGCGGAGGAGGACACACACGGCGAAGCCGCGACAGCGAAAGACGATGAGTCGCAGCCGCAGCCGCCGGCAGCCCAAGGCTCGCAGTCAGAGGAGTACGTCGACATGGACGAGACACAGGAGGAGGTGCTGGACGACGTGGAACCGGCCGCACCAGTGCCGACAAAGCCGGTGGCCGACCAGCCTCGACAGACCCCAGTGACGGCCGCCACTGCGCCGCCACCGCCTGTCACCACTGCCACCGTCGTCGCCGCCAGCGCCGCCGCCGCCACGACTTCTGCCGCCTCTTCCTCGGCGCCACCTCGGCCTCCGCCCGCCACGACCGTGTCCACGCCGCCGCGGCGGCCGCCGGCTGCTTCTTACCAGTCGCCACAGCTGCCGCCGCGACCGCCGGTCTCTTCTTCTTCTTCTTCTTTCATTCTCTCCTCGATCCCGGCCCACCTGTTCCCGCCCCGGCTCGCCGCTGCCAACTCCCTCTCCCGACCACCCACGCCAGCGCCCACGCCCAAGTCGGCCCCTGTGGTCGCCCCAGCGCCGACCTCGACCTCGGTGCTCCCCGTGGTGATCGCGCCCCGACCGCTCTTGCCGAGGCCGGCGTCGAAGCAGGCCATACCGGCGAGCATGCGGCGACCGCTGGCCCCACCCGCCTGGTGTGCGAGATGCTCGCGAATCCACCAGCTGCCCTGCTACGCCGGAGCCAGGACCACGCGCATCAACTGCTACGGCCAACCGGTCTCGTCGTCCGCGTGCTGGTACTATCACCACCCACGCTGGGCACAGCTTCTTTTTTTTCTTTATTGCGAGATGATGTGACGCTGATGGCGCACGTGTGGTCGCGTTCATCAGGTACTGCGGCATTGAAGGGCACTGGAAGACCGAGTGTGAGCTCCGGGTCTGGCACGAGCAAAACGCGGCCAACAAGCGCACAACCGACTCTGTTGCGAGTACCAGCTCAACCGCAAACCCATAAAGTTCGTCCCTACCTCCTCGCTCTTCGCTCTTTCTTCGCTTTCGTTCTTCCGGGTTGAAGTGCGAAAGTAGTGCGTAAGCCCACGAGATCAGAATAATAGACTGGAAGAAGACAATTGCATCGGCCAAGCGAGGCACGCGCCAGCTCAAAACTATGTCTGACACCCCGTCCTGGTGGGAATAATTCTCAACTGGTGCAGCAGATGGTCACATTCCCACGGATTCCAGGCTGGCCTTGGGCGGTTGCGCCCAGGAATGATTAAGATTGACGGTCACGCACCCAATGTGTGGCGCGTGAAAGGTAAGATTGATGCCCACCCCGCACTCCGAGACCGATGAGCTCGTCGCCCCCGGTCTGAAATACCGGTGCGTGGACGAGCCTGACAAGATAGTGACGACACCCACCAGGTACAAATGGTCGAGCCTCGCCCCAGCTGCAAGGTCTTTGCTAGCCAGCCACTGCCACAACGCCGCACCACACAACCACCATTTAGCCCTTCATTACAACCCGCCAACCGCCAACCCGCCTAGTCCTCCATAACACCACGCCGACGCCCTCACTATCGCCACCGCCAGCCGCCAGCCGCCAGCCACCGCCACGGGTAGGCTTGCGCACCACTTGTGCTGCTGGACCACAACTCTGACCTATGCGTTCTGCAGGACAAAATAGCCAAGAATAAGAGAGACCAATCAGCGTAGCGCCAACAACAACACTGTAACTCCCAAAACCAGACAACCCAAAATGCAGAGGAGCGCCGTCAGGTTTGCTTCGGTCAACGCCGCGCAGCTCGCCGGCCGCCGGGTCGTAACCGGACCGTCTGCGCGGGTCCTTCTCTTGGGGTAGGACCCGCACCTTTCTCCACTGAATATGTGGTCATCTGACCTGGCCCATCATCAGGGCGAGGGAAGCCGTGGAGCTGAGGCGGGGCTACCACCAGAGCCACCTCCGCATCGACTTGGGCGTGGAGGAAGAGGAGATCGAGGAGTGGAACTGCAAGAAGGCGCCCGATTCGGCCTCGTTCGTCAACGCGGACAAGATGCCGGTGCGCTCCATCGAGGAGATGCAACACGAGACTCTGGCCATCCTCACCTCTACGGCCGGCGCCTCGACTCACCGAGAGGATCACGGCCCCCGGCTCTAGAACCACTCACCCACCTAAGCTGGTTCCTTGTATAATGCTGTAATAAACTTAGTCTCCCGAAATGTGCTCTCGTGCTCCGGGCGTGCCAGACTGTGCACCCTCTGGCCACCGGGGAAAAAGAAGATAGCCTCTGCAACCTTGGTACCACGGGTGCTTGCGCAAGCAAAAAAAGGAGATAGCCGACCGTGGGGCTCGAACCCACGACCACAAGATTAAGAGTCTTGCGCTCTACCGACTGAGCTAGGACGGCTTCGCGTTGCCAGGTGGGGCTTTCCTTTACTTTTTGTGCTGGGTGCCGAAGGACGATAAATTAGATTAAAAAGGTGCGAAACAAAACAGATTTTGGAGGAGAAGGGTATCGATCCCTTTACCTCGCATGCTAAGCGAGCGCTCTACCATCTGAGCTACACCCCCGTTATAAAAAATATTTCAGCTTGGTGTGGCCTTGGAGCAGGAAATGTGTAGTGGTGTAGTGGAGTAAAGAGATGGATTTGAGAAGAGAGAAAGAAGTGAGAATAAACAGAAGAATGCAGTGTTCTTTTAAAGGGTTCTCTGGTCTGTTCTAATTGGTTGGACAGCTTAGGTCTTTGAGCAACAGAAGGGAGTTCAGAGTTGATTGTTGTTCAATGAGAGTGACTTGACTGACTGGACAGGTTTGACAGGATGTTGCTGGTTTGAGTCTGAACACAGTTTGGGGTTGGTGCCCTTCCCCAGTGCTACTCACTGTTGTGCTACTTCACCCCTCCTCTTGTCCTTCCTTGTGGGCAGCATTGCCAGGTCCACCAGCCTTCACCCCCCCCCTTGTTGTGCACACCACCACTGACACATGTGTCATGTGTGTTGTGTTGTGTATGAGCCAGTGTGGGACAGGGACTAGGGAATGCCTGTCCAGGTGGGGTCCTTTCCTAATCTTGCAGATGGGTACATCCAAGTCTGCAGCAATTATTTTCTTTTTTAATTTCTTTCTTTCCTGTGCAGAACAAGTGTTGCTCTGTGGTGTGTTGGAAGGGGAGAGATTTGCTGCCCTGGCTGAGGCTGAGGCGGAGGCAGAAAAACACACCACCACCAGGACCTCCTGATGATGCTATGCTGGATTGGCTTTGGTCTGTGGTTGCCACCCCTCAACACCAAAAATATAATCATATTTACAAACATGTCAATCACAACATGAGCACCTCAGAGAAGAACACCAAACCCAACAAGGAAGAGACCCAGCTCGTGCACAGCTCCAAAAGATCTAGGACTGAATCAGGAGACAACATGAACCAAGCAGCCAATACTGTTCCCTCTTCATCTTCTGCAGCACACCCACAAGAATCAGTGGAACATATCAACCAACATAAAAGAAACCAAATCAGTACCACACACACCTGTGCACCCTGCCATAAAGCCCATCAACAATGCAATACATACCTCCCCCAACACACATTGTGCCTGGATCTCTCTCCCCTTTGCAGGGAACAGCCCTGCTCAAGATGTGTGCAGAAAAAGATGGGGGCTGAATGCATCACTGCTGACAAGCACCAGAGAGGGGGTGCAACCTCCAAGGAGGAGCTGGAAAAGATGGGCATGAAGCAAGAAAGGGAAGAGGTGGCCAGCACATCTGTGGAGGAGAAGATCTCAACATTGCCATAAGCAACTGACATGCTTATGCAAGGTAGCAAGGCTTGAGTGGCTCCTCAAAAGGCTTCACTCCTCCAGCAGTTCAGAACTTTCAGTATATTGTGTTGTGTCCCAGCCACTACTCTTCCTCCTATTGTTGGCTGCTTGTATTGCCTTCATCTCATTCACCTGTGTTGTCACATACACTTGTGTGCACAGAAGGAGCTAGGTAGGTGTGGCAGTCAAAGTGCTTACCCATCCACCCTCAGCCCAACATTTGGCCAAGGTGGCTGCTAAGATTCCCACCCACTCTCACTCTGTGGACATTTGGTGACTTTGCTGGGGTGTGGCTGCACAGAGAAATTGTTGGTGAGAGGAGCAGCACCACCACCTCTTCCAACTGTGGTGTATGGCACTGGACCAGCCCAGAGATACCAACTCCAGTAACATGGGGCAAGCCTACTTGGAAAGGACTGATGTGTACAGTTTTGGAGCTGCTGCCTGGGAGGTACTGCATGCCAGCTTGCACCTCCTCCCCTCACCCAACTGAGCACAACACACATCTGGCAGGTTTGGACAGGCAAGGTGCCATTCAGCAATCTGCAACAGGGTATTGTTATTGGCCAGAGTATGTGTCATGTGCCATTGCCCGCCTGTGCCACTGTGCTGCATGGGCATGCCACCATTTCCCTGACTAATGATGTACATGTGTGTGGCAGTTGAAGTGGAGAGGTGAAGCTGGATATTCCCATGGATGCGCCAGCGCCCTTGCAAGAGCTCCTGCATGCATGCACAAGCTATGATCCTCATACTTGACCTGCCTTCTGTGATATTGTTGCCCAACTTGAGCTCTTCTGTGTGTGAGCACCAAAGTTTCCCTCTCTGTCCCCCCACAACACACCCAAAGTTGTGTGTAAGGTGTAATGTCACCAGGCTTGAAAATAGATTGTGGTGTTGTGGTACTGTGATGGTTTGGCGCCAGTGTTGAAAATAACCACACAACCAGGGTGTGCTTCTTCTCATCCCTGACTTCTTCTTCTTCTTCTCTTTCCTTTTCTTGCATCTCACTTTCTTGCAGTTCCTCTTCCAACCCAGCTTCAGTGGCGTCCTCATCAAGGTCATCACTCTTTCTTGAGTTGATGACACTACTGCTGCTGGTGCTGCTGGTGCTGCTTTTCTTCTCCTCCCTCTCCCTCATACCAGTAGCCTTGGCCATATCTGTGTGTGTGTGTACAGCAGCTCCTGCAGCACCATGACAAGCAATGAGCACTCACACAAGGGGAAGAAAAAGGGGGTGGAGGTGCCTCAGATGGTCCAGAAGCACATGGTCTCCAAACTGGCCACATGTGATCCTGGCTGTTCCTCCAACAACAGAATGAGCACAGCCATGTGTGTGTGTGTGTGGTGTGTTGTGTAGAGTGGTTATGCACTAAGATGAACATGTGTCCATTCAAACTGAGCTCATACAGGATCCCTTTTGGGGTGATTTGTGAAGGCCCATAAGCAACACACAAGCACAGAAGTGCATGAGAAGGGAAGGGCCACACACCTTTCTGCAGCATCTGCCAGACAATGTCACACACAAAGTCCAGATTCAGTACCAACTCCATGTGATTGGCTGATGGGTGGGCAAGAGATATATCAAGATATCCTGCTTAAATGTGATCACTGACTTTGTGCATGTGTGCTCTACAAACACATGACATGACACAACATGAGACATGACATGACATGAGACATTTTTCTACTGGTCAAGCCACAGTTTGTAACAACTGGAAGACACTGTAGAGCGCAATGAAGTGGTTGCACTATTTCCAATGAGTAATGGTGGTTGGTGTGGAATGCAGGAATCACAGTGGATGTGTGATAAGCTCAAGCAAAAATGTTCAAGGACAATGCAAGAAGGGACAGAGCAATGCGTGGTGTGCTGGTTAAGGGTCCAGTTCCCTTTGCTTTTTTTCTATTTTTAGCACCAACACCTTCAGTCCCAACATCCTCCACACTTACAAGCACACCATACTTCTCCTCCCACTTATCTACTAGGCCCCAACACTAACAACTCCATTTTGTCTTAGCCCCACACCACCAGCTTCATCACCACTCCCCACCAAACAACCAACCAAGCGCCCACATATCACCAACAAGGGCAAGGAGAAAGTTGACATGATGGATGAAGACCTGCCCTCACCCAACAATCCCTCAGCCTCAGCCTCGCCCTCGCCCTCCACATCTTCATCTTTCTCTTCACATCCCTTGCCCTATCCCTCACCCTCACCCTCATCATCCTCTTCATCTTCCCATCCCTTGCCTTCACCCTCACCCTTGTCATCCTCTTCATCATCCCATTGCTTGCCTTCACCCTCGCCCTCACCCTCGCCCTCACCCTACAACCCCACAGCCCTGGCCTCATGCACACTCTCTGCTTTGCCCTCATCCCACAAGCCCACATCTAAGAAGCAAAAGCAGCCAACACTGTCACCCATCACTTGCCCCTATCCTGGCTGCAGCAAGAACTACACCTACCTCAGCAACTTTAGAAACCACTTCAAAAAGGTGCATGTTCTGGCTCACACAACTACCACAGCCCCTCCTCTTTCCTGCAGCTTGTCTGATTCTAGCCTTGACCTCAACAGCCTGCTGGCAGAACTACCACCATTGGACATCCAGCCACTTGACATGAGGAACAATGTTTGGCTTGCCCAACAGACAATAGTGCATGAGTACCTACATGACCTGGCAAGCCACCCCAAGCAGGAGGATCAGGAGGATGACAACAGCCAGGGCAAGACTCCTCAAGACATCCAGGACCTGCAGGCACTTGTACAGGTTCATCCTCTCTTTTGTGCTGTCAATCATGTGCCAGTGCTCACCACAGTTGTGCAGTTTCTCCAGGCTCAACAGGCAGCATGGAAGCTGCGCGCAGAACAGAGACCACCCAAAGAAACCACCAAATAAATGCTTCAAATTTTCCTATCCAAAGTTTTTTGTTTTCTTGTGCATTCTTCAAATCGTGATCTGACTACAGGAAATAAAGCAAAGGGAACTGGACCCTTAAAAGGATACGGGCACGGTGATTCAGAGGGCAGGAGCCAGCATCATGGTGAGTGCGCGCTGTGCAGACCAAAAGGATACGGCACGGTGGATTCCCGGGTGGTCGCCCACCCCAGTACTAGCACCGCCTGGCGCAGCTTAACTTCGCTGTTCGGATGGGAAGCGGTGCTTTCTGCGCAGAATGGCCGTATCCAGCACCCTCACCAGACGAGGTGAGCGCTCGGTCAGATCGCGGCGGGATCGGTGAGCTATCAGGCCGGGAGTCGCTGTGTTGTCCGACCTTGGCCCTCGCTTCTCCATCCTGCGGCGGTCGGAGTGGAGGACTTGCGGCCGCGATGATGCATTGGCTCAAACGTCGAAGACCTGCAGCTTCTCTGTGATCGGCGACCGGCACACGGGGCACACCCTTATGCGCGCACACAAGTCGCGTACGCCACACGACCCCAAGAGTGAGAAAGAGAGCCCGCAATAGGCATGAGGGTGCGAGTGGTAGCTGACCTGATGTTGTTGGCGCAGTACTGGCAGACGATGTAGTGTCTGCACGGCATGAGAACGTGGCTGCGCGTGTGGTCCATGCACACGACGCAGTGCCGTCGAATTTCCTCCCGACTCGTGCGTTCCTCCATCTCCTCCACCCGCTGCTGCAGGCGGCGCTTGTCGATCATCAGATCGATCATCTTCCGCTGCAGGTGCTCCTTGTCCAGATCGAGCCGTCTGTTTCGGACCTCAGCGAGTCGCACGCTGCGCTCCATGTGCGCCATCTCTTCGCGCTGCCTTGCCTTGCCCTCTCGCCACGCTTGCTTCTCCCGCTCGGCCGCCGAGTAACTGTCCTGTGTGGCCGCGGCGTCGCCCAAGCTCGAGAAGGCCGCGCGCCTCCTCTCTAGGCTCTCCTTTCGGCTCTGTTCGGCTCTGGCTTGCGCCCTGAACCCGACACACGCACACGCACACGCACACGCACATGCACACGCACACGCACACGCAAACACACACGCGCGCGCGCACACACACACACACGCACAGAGACAGAGCTGGGTGAGAGCCCAATGAGTTCCGAGGGCAATGAGCTGGGTGAGTACAGATGCGCGAGGATGGCCTGAATGCCTCTCTTCACCACGGCCTTGGGCGGGAAGGTCAGCGTGGCCTGCGCGCCCGACAACTCGAGTACGATCAACTCGTCCAGAAGGCTCCCTGTAGCCGCAGGGTTGATTACGTCAACGCTGTGGACTGTGTCGCGTCTCTCGATCCCTGCTTGAGGGACACTTTGGGTGGTACGTGGTACCCATGCCCAGCGGGAGCGAGCGCAGCGGATTGGCGGTCAGGTAGAGCCGGCGAAGGCCGCGGCAGGAGCCGATCTGGTCGGGCAACTGCGTGAGCTCGTTCCCACACAGGTACAGATCCCTTAGATTCACTAGCCGCCCTGCTTGCGCTCCTCGATCGTCAGATCTTGTGTGTGCGGTGTGCAGAGTGTGCGGTGTGTGCTGTGTGCGATTGTGTGTGCGGTGTGGCAGTGGGATGCAGACCTATTTCGGGAGGCAGAGAGGTGAGTCTGTTGGAGGTGAGGTTGAGAACGGTGAGCGACGCCAGGCAGGCGATGGTGGATGGAACGGTGGACAGCCGGTTGATGGCCACGTCCAGCACGCGCAGCCCGCCCAGTGGTCCTTCCTCGCAATCGCTGCATCTCGAGATGGCTCCATCTTTCATCTTCGTGCCGAAGTAATCGTGGTCCACGGACGCGTTGCAAGCGAACAAGGAAGAGGGGAGGTACACCAGACGATTGTTCTTCAAGATGAGACAACGCACTGGCAGATTCGATGCATCTCCCTCACAACTTTTGGTCACAGCGAGCTCGAGCGGCACTCGTTCGAGCTTCATGTCCGACAAGTCCACCACACCGGCCCGCGCCATCCTCAGTGGTTGGCCAGCCTTCGACCGGCGACCTCCAGCTTTATAAATCAAAGAAGATTGATTAATATAAAATAATAAAACAAAAAGTAAAATCAGGAAATAATAAAAGATGACGACAGTAGCGGAGGAGGAGCAACGCGAGGTTGAACTGGACCGCTTGTACTTTGGCAGGGCTCGCGACAGACAGTTCGAGGGTCTGGGCAGCGCGCAAAAGCCAGGGACAAGTGCAGGTGCCTCGAAACAGAACCAGAAGAAGACGAGGGGCAAAGGAAAGGCTGCAACAACGCAAGATGATGAAAAGGCGGCGGGAGGGGACGGCTGGGAGGGCTCGTTCTTCTTTCTGCAGCTAGCCGACACCCAGCTTGGCTTCTACAATGACAACCAGGTATTTTTTGTATCATGTATTTTTATTTATTGTTTTATAAGGCTTTATTTTTATTTTGTTTTATGCAGTCTTGGGACAAAGAAATCGCGTTGGCCCCCGCGCAGTCCGGTGCATCAACGCCATGCGGCCACGGCCTCGGTTCGTTGTGGTGTGCGGCGACCTGGTGCACGCCTACCCGTGGGAGAAGCCAGCCTACGACCGCCAGGTCCTGACACCACTCCCACTCCCGCTCTGCATCATTGGTGCCTTGGCTGGGTCCACGCCCTCACTCATAGCCCCGATCTAGGTGCGAGATTTCAAGCGGGTGATGCGCAAGATCGACCCGTCGATACCACTCGTGTGCCTGTGCGGCAATCACGGTGCGGTGCCCGCTCCTTCATCATGCCACACGGCCTCCGTGCAACGCTTACCACCTCACGCGCACGGCATTGCGCTGGATGCACAGACGTGGGGAACACGCCAACACGGGCCACCATCTACAGCTACAAGGAGCGGTTCGGGGATGACTACTTCCGCTTCTGGGTGGGCGGGGTACGCCCCTGCGGCTGCTCTGTTTCTGTCGATCAAGTGTGCACACGATTCCGCGGAGATGAATGGCCGCCTGATTGCACCACACACATCTCTCTCTTGCAGGTTTGTTGTCTGGTCTTGAATGCTTCGCTCTTTGCTGATCCTTCCAAGGCATTGGAGGAATACGAAGAGCAGCGGGCGTGGTTCGTGCAGGAGCTGCAAGCCTTCTCCCGAGGTACGCCGACATCGGCGGTGACATCACGCCCAACCTGATGAGAGAAGCGAAACTCCTCTTCTTCCTCTCCCTCTTCCAGACCGAGAACGTACCCAGGCCAAGCATTTGCTTGTGTTCCAGCACCAGCCGTGGTTCCTGGAGGAGCCAGACGAGGAGGACCAGTACTTCAACATTCCCAAGGAGAGACGAATGCCGATGCTCGAGGAGATGGCCAAAGCAGGCGTACGGCTTCCTTGCACTTCCCACGAGTCAGCCCTGTCTGAGCCCGAGTCCATTTGGGAACTGTGCGTGTGGTGTGTGTGTGCAGGTGCGTGCCGTGTTTGCGGGCCACTACCACCGCAACTCGTACGGCACTCTGGGGAAGATGGAAATGATCACTACGTCTGCTGTGGGACGCCCATTGGGCGTCGACCCTTCGGGCTTCAGGGTACACTGGTCACCATCACCATTTGAACAGTTGGACAGGGGGGGTTGGTTGGGGAGAGGGGCTGACCATGATAGCCGCGACCCTGCAGGTGGTCAAAGTGAGCGAGGACGGCATCGAGCATGCCTACTACAGCCTGGACCGCCTCGAGCAGAGTGACACTCCAGAATTCGAAGGCGCGCTCAGCTTCGCCCCAGGCCGAGCGAGCTCCGCGGAGGACAGTTTTTAGCCGCCCTTCCCCTGGCGAGACTCCGACTGTTGTTTTGCCGAAGATGGAGCCGCGGAGGACAGAGAGGAGGTTCGCGGTGCGGTCCTACGTGCCAGCTGATCGAGACCGTGTTCTTCAGCTCTTTGTCGAGGTGCCTTCAAAAACAAAAATCGCAACGCGTTGTGTTGTGTGCTCAAGATTAAATCGCAAGATTAATCCAACCTGTGGCAGGGAATGCAAGAAAACATTGAGACTTCGCCTCCTGACGTCCGCCTTGTGATCGAGGACTCGGTAGAACCACTTTCATTCTTTTATTTATGTATTATTTTGCTTATTTGTGTGGTCTTTTGCAGGAGAGGAGGTTTATTGAGTGGTCGCTGCATGACGACCTGGCCGACATTGACGCTGTCTACATGGCCTGCACCACATCCCCACGAAGCCACTTCTGGGTCCTCGTTGAATGCATCGAGGGTCAGTCCCAAGCACGCATGACCTTAGCTTCTTCAACTTCACAAGGGCTCACGCCTGCTTTCGTTCAGGGTCAGAAGGAGAGCAAGGCAAGCGAGAAGTGATACAGGGCATGGTTGGGCTCTACCGAGTGGACGATGACTACGCCAAGGTGCGCCGAATGAGCATAGCATCCGCCGTCCGCCGGCAGGTACGCCTGAGATCCCCCGCCTGCATGTAGCCACTACCCCAAAATGTGACTTCTTCTTGACCGTAGGGCTTGGCGCGTCGACTGCTTGACCACATCATCGACTACGCGAGCAAGGAGGGCTTCCGTCGCGTCATCCTCAGCACTGGTGCGTTTCCCGCTGCATTCACCGAGCGCTATCGACAAACCCCACACACAGCCACGCGCCTATTCTTCTTATCCGGCCATGCTACACGCCACCTGATCGGCAGGTCAGTACATGTCCGCGGCGAACGCGCTGTACACGACCTACGGATTCATCAAGACGAAGGAGGAGCCGGACGAAGTCGGCACGATGGAGAACCACTACGAATACTGCCTTGTGCCACACGCCTAGTTGCCTCGCTTCGTTGTAACGAGCCTCGTTTCTTTTAAAAGAAACTCCGTAACTCCACGCGCATGGACGAGCCCCACAGGTTGGCCATCTTTTTCGTTTGCTCTTTGCTTCAGATCTCTGCATCTTGATCTAGGGGTGGTGCGATCAGCTGTGGAGACCCGAAAATCCGCCAATTTTGAGTTCCCCTCGATCGAGAGGCGACATAGCGGGCGACATTTCTTATTGAAATTGAAGCCATAACGATGGAGGACACCGTGAAAGCAGCCGCTTTGCCCAATGTTCACACGATCACCACCAGCATCAACAACAATGACAACACAACTCCAGAGTCGCCATCGCATAATCGGAACATCATGATTTCCCTTCCTTCAATGCAAACAAGCAACGAAATCAGTACGCGCTCCACGTCGAGATTTTGTTCTATTTTATTTATCTTTTATTGCCATTAATATTAATGTGTCTTTTGCCATTAATATGCCTTTTCACAAATAATCATTTTAAATATATTTATCAATTTTGGTGCAGAGGAAGCCACGCCGCCGCCACACCGATACACGGGGCTCTCCGTGGCCATCGCCTACGGTACCTCCTCCCTCCCAATGCTCAAGCTTGTTGTTGCTTTCCCTAACAAAGATGAATACAATATGGTGTCTTCTGTGGACTACTCGCCAGGCCTCGTGTCGATGTGCGCGGTGGTGGTCAACAAGGCCGTGCTCTCTTCGTGGTCCTTCCAGTTTCCGCTGACGATGATCGCCAGCCAGATGGCCATCTCCTTCCTTCTCCTGTGGGTCCTCAAGCAGTGCGAGCTCATCCAGTACGACGACTGGTCCCTCGCCACCGCCAAGAAGGTGCAAGGCCGACTCCACTCACCCATTCTTCTTCTTCTTCTTCACGCTACATCGAACAATGCGACTGATCGTCTCCCTGTGTGCGGGCACAGGTGTGGCCAATGGCGCTGGCGCACGTGGGCAACGTGCTATTGGGCCTTGCTGCACTCAACCTGGTCGACATTCCTATGTTTGGGTACCCGAGCTCCCCCCTGGTCGCCCGCAGACTACTCGTCGGGGCCTTCTTCTCTCCACTTCTTCACCTCGAGGTGCCGCTGCTCACCTGCTGTGGTGCGAATCAGGGCTTTGCGACGGACAAGCGTCATTTTCGTGTTGGCCATGGAGTATCTGGTTTTGAGCAAGACAGCGTCGCTTCAGGTGATCGGTTCGACGCTTCTTCTGCTTCTCGGTGCGCTCGCTTTCTAGAGGCCTTCGTCATCACTTCCTTTCATGTTCAGTGCCGAGAGAAGAACCCGCTCTTCCATGACATCAACGCGTTGGTGGTGCTCACTGGTTGGTGGTCGTGCAGGGGCGATTGTCGGTGGCTGGGGCGATCTGCATTTCGACCCCTTCGGCTACGCACTCACGTTCTGTGTAAATGTTACGACCGCCCTTACACTGGTACGCCCCTCCTCCGTGCGTGCCTGCGTGCCTGCACACTGGAGCTTTGTGCACAACTCAACTAATTGTGAAACCATTGGCCCACATGGTTCCACTTTTTGCAGGTCCTCATTCCCAAGCTGGGCACGGCTGCGAATCTGAACGCGTTCGGGCTCATGCTCTATCAGATCACCATCTCCTTCCCCATCGTCGTCTTCTTCATCTTCTCCACGGGCGAATGGAACGGAGTCATGGCCTATCCATTTTTGCACCATCCTGGCTTCCAGGTACCAACCCGTACACTGAGAGCTCCCTCACACACCAACATTCTTATTACGTGCTTTTGCTGTTTCGTGCAGTTCGCGTTCTTCGTATCATCGGCTCAGATATTCTTGGTCAACTACACTCTTTTCCTCTGCACGCAGCTCAACTCTCCTCTCACCACCACAGTCACAGGTACCCTTAGCGACACACAGACGCACATGACACACACATCGCGCCGCCTAATCACCGCCACACCACCACCACCGCCGCCACCACACACGCGATTACTCATGCTGATCACTTTTTTTCATCAGGGACCATCAAGAATATTGGCGAGACGATGCTCGGATTTGTCTTCTTCAGCGTTCCGGTCGACCCCATCAATCTGATGGGCATTGCCATCGGGTACGCACTCTCTTCATCGCCGGCCAGCCAGCCAACCACCAACACCGCACCACCCGACTCACCCTCTCCAATCGCGTTCCATAGATTTACGGGCAGCGTCTACTACTCGGTCGTGAAGTACTTCGAACAACAGCAGACGCAGTCGAAGCCCGCCTTGGCCAAGGTCTGAGTCTGGGCCTGTTGGTGGTGGTGGCCGCGCCAAAGGCCTTTGTGGAGCCTAACGGCCCAGACCATCAACAGAACCGTTTTTTTCCAATGACGTCATCTCCGCTTTCTCCGTTAGCCCTTCGCTTTCGCTTTTCTCCCCTCGTTGCCCGCACGTCCATCTCCTCCATCCCTTTCATCGTCACGCACCGGCACCGATCGCTGTCTCATTATTTCACGGCAGAGAGATTTTTTTTTGTTTAACCATCATCATCATCAAAGAAAATGACGACCAGCGGCGATGACCTGTCTACCCTGCGCACGATGAGGGATGTGTTCGACTACTGCCAGCGGAAGGGCCTGTACTCGGTGGCCCAGGGCATGATCGAGCTGCCGCCCCCGCGCGCCCTGCGCGAGATTGTCGCGGCCGACGTGCTCAAGGACGAGGCCCCGTCCTCGGACATCCACCAGTACCGCTCGCGTATGGGCGAACGCGACTACCTCAACGCCCTCCGCACGCTCCTCAAGGACCACTACGCGACCGATGTGCCCGAGGGTTCCATCTTGGCCACCTCCGGGTATTTATTATTTATTTATAATTCTATTTTAAACGTACTCCACATTTTCTAATAATATTGGTTTATTAATTTACTATTTGATTATATATTCATTGGTATTAATTACTTCGTTACGTAAATAATAATTAACAAAAAAAAAACAACCTTGTTGTGCACAACGCAGAGTGACGGGCGCGATCGTGGCGGCGCTGATGGTGCTGCGGAAGCAGGGCAAGTCGCGCATGGCGGTGATCGAGCCGTACTACACCTACCACTCCCGCCAGGTCGAGGAGGTCTTCCAGAAGCTGCCCGAGGGCATCCCGTCCCACCTCGATTGGTCTCCCGACTTTGACGGTGTGTTCCCCACCCGTGCTCGTGTGTGTGTGTTGTGTGTGTGTGTGTGTGTGTGGTGTTGCGGCCTGCGGTGCTGACCCACAGGGCTGCAGCGATCGAGAAGGCCCTGAAGGGCGGCGTGGAGGGCATCATCATCGCCAACCCCAACAACCCCACCGGCCGCGTGTGGGCCAAGGAGGAGCTGCAGAAGCTGTACGTCTCTCTTCGCCTCGCTTGCGCCTGGGCGTGTGTCGTATCGTGCGCGCGTGTGCGTGTGCGTGTGCGTGTGCGGTCGGGAAAGTAACGAAACCTGCGCACAACAGTGTGGCGCTGACCAAGCAGTACGGCGCTTCGCTCATCTTGGATGAGATCTACTGCGACATGGTCTTCGCCGGCAACAAGCACTACTCTCCCATCCAGGGTACGGCATACAAACATGTGCCCCTCGCACGCGATTGATATCTCACACACCCGTGGTCGCGACAGACTCGCTCGAGGAGCACGTGTTTGTATGCCGCGGCTACTCCAAGACGCTCGGCGCGCAGAGCTGGCGGTTGGGCTATGCCGTCTCCCACCCGGAGACCATCAAGTCCCTCATGACCCACCACGATCCCATCTACATCAGGTTCGTCACACACTCACTCTCTCTCTCTCTCTTGCAGTCCGCCTCGGTCTGCACGGTCGCTAACCTTCTCTCGCTTTGATAGTGTGTCGTGGCAGCAGCACAGCTTGGCCCAGTACTTGAACAAGCAGTACAGCGATTACGTTAAGCACATCAACGAAATCAATGCCCTTCTCCAGACCAACTACGAGGTTCGGCGTTCACTCACTTCTTTGTCGTCGTCGTTGCTGTTAACCGTCTCGTCCTACTTTTTATTATTATCAATCAGCATTTTATCATCATCATCAATGAATGAGTTGTGCCCGGTCGGTGGTACTCACGGCGCCCTGGCCTCTCCTTCAGATTCTCGCCCCGGCCTTCAAGGACGCGCTAGGCTGGGAGCCGATTGCTCCTCAGGGCAGCATGTACGGCATGTTCAAGCACACCGAAGCCAGCGACATCGAGGCCCTTCAGAAGGGTACCGGCCCAGTTCCCTCTCGTCGAGCACTGGTCTGGCCTGGCCCGGCAAAACGGACTCCATGGACTCACAGATTGCGATCGGTGGTGGTGGATTCTTTGTGGTTGCAGGCCTGCGTGCCGGCGTGGGTGTGGCTCCGGGTTCGATGTTCTACGTGGATAACCGGGCCAACTCCGGCTACATCCGCATCCATGTGGGCATCTCCACTGAGAAGGCCAAGAAGATTGCTGAGACCCTTCGTGCCAACAAGCAGTAAAGTATCCTGGATTTACCCACGCCCTGTACTGCACAATCCACCGCACAGGCGTGCGTGCCTTCAGCAATGAAGATCTTGCTTGCCACGCTCGCCGACATCGGTTCACAGGAGCAGTGTGCAGGTGGCCAGTGAGCAGCAAGGGCCGGTTAGCTTAGTTGGTAGAGCGTGGTGCTAATAACGCCAAGGTCGTGGGTTCGATCCCCACACTGGCCATTTCTTTTGGCGGCAATTCAACCGCAAGAAGACGGAAAGAGAGAGGTTGACAACGTGGTCAAGAGCAGGTGTGCAACAAGTCCGCCTCATGGTGTAGTTGGCAGCATATAGGTTTCTGGTACCTGGGACCCCAGTTCAAATCTGGGTGGGGCGATATCTCATTTAATCTTTTTTTTCTGCGAAATGGGGAGAGTATTGCTTTTTTTTTCTGTAGAGAGCTGTGAAAGCAGTACATACACATACATGCTGGAGTATTAGTGGAAGTCTTGCTGGATGTGTGGGATTTTCTCCTGTAACTTGCACTCATTTGAAATGAGAGGTCAAAAATGACTGGTGAAATTTTGAAGGTCACAGAGATGTTGCAAGCAGCCAAACTCTTTATATTTGCCATTCAAAGCCTTGATGTTTACTTACACCAACTTCTTTGTGTATCACAGAGAACTTGTGGTCATTTGAAATGAGAGGTCCAGTCATTTTGAAAAGTGATTTTGTTTGTGAGTTTAAGCTCATAAAAATAGTTTTGACAACACAAAAATGGTTTTATTTTAAGAATAGCAAGACAAAATTGGGAGCATCTTGAGAAATGGCAGATTAAAATACCATCATAATGAGAGATATGATGCTGTAACTGGGCCATCAGTCAAGGTCTGGAATGACCAATTTCTATCATGTACATGTTTTGGTACACTTACTTTATCGCGTACGCGTACGCGATGACTACGCACATTTTTTTCGGTACTTTCCTGAACGGTTGGCACACAGAACCATAAAAGGAAAAATCACAGCTGCTGGGATTTAACTGGACAAAAAGTCAATTTTTATTCTTTACACAAGCAATTCCGAGGGGCTGTTTGTCACATCTCAGTGTGGAGAGTGCCCTTCATCTCTTCCTTCTTGGCCTCCTGAGGAGGTGGCTGCTCACTATGAGGGTGGCCTGGAGCTGCTCTTTGTCATTCACTTGATATTAAATTGTTGCAGCATTCATCTTCACATGATCTGTGGGGCAAGGAGGAGATAAATTAGCAAACATTCTATCACATACACATACATGATAGAATGTCCTGCAGTTTCAAAGCATAATGGGCTTTGAAAATGGCAAGGTTAATGGGAACAAAAGTAACTGTATTAAAAAGAGGGAACACCAAACCAAAGCATAATGGGCTTTGAAAATAGCATGTATGCAATGGGGCAGTTACCACCTTCAGGAGCTTCAACAGTTCCTTGTTGTTGGCCATGGCTGATGGCAGGGTGACTTGCACCTATGCATACACAACAACAAAAACTGTAAAACCAGACACATACTTTATCACATACACATACACAATGACTACATGTTTGACCTACCAATACTTAGTTTATCATGTACACATACATGATCTGGAAAATCAGAACTTGGCTTGTTTTGTGTAAGTGCTCCTCTGAACACCCTCAAACTGCACCTTGCTTTTGCTTTCATACCCTCCATCAATTCCATAATCAGTGGCCAACATGCTGCCCTCACATCCAGTTCATGTTCAACCTCACACCATATTCAGTCAGTTGCACACATGCACTGAACTTCATTCTTCACATTTGTGCTGAATTGGAGCACTATTCCTGAAGTTAAAATTCCACTCCATTCCACACTGATAAAATTACTTTTAACTCCACAAATTCCAAGTTTTTATCAAATCATTTTCATCTCAAATCCCTCAATATGACTTATAAGCAGTGGTCTAGCATGTCAAAATCACACATGCAGATCCATATCTTCAAAACTGCCCTATAAATCAAAAATGTCAAATCTCACACAATTTTAGCACAACAAAAATTCCACAGTCATTTGTGACCTCTCATTTCAAATGACTGTTGACTGCAACCATTGACTGATTGTTTGGTCCATGCTTGGCAATGAGGAGTGGGAACATGTTCCACATTACCAGCATCTGGCACTTATTGGAGCTTCTTATACCACCAAAAAACAATATACAGCTAGAAGATGTTGTGCCTGTCCAAAATGTGTATAACATATAGACTGGATCTCTCATTGCAAATGAGCACAAGTTCTGTGCTTGAGGACATGGAAGAGGAAGCATTCAAGGCTGGTCTTTCATTGAAGTTGGTCTCAACAAATAGCCCATCCTTTACACTCACTTACACTTTTCATTCTACTCTGCCCACTTTTCATTCCCTGATTGCTTCTGTGCTTATTATTGCCATGGGTGTTGGCAACCCATGGTACAGGTTTTATAAGATGCTGCTTGTTCAACATGAAAGGAATGGTGCACAGAAAGAGCAAGGCCAAAACCCACCCAAATGGGACATCCCAGTCCACACCCTGATACTCATAGGCAAGAGATCAAAAAAGATATCGCCCCACCCAGATTTGAACTGGGGTCCCAGGTACCAGAAACCTATATGCTGCCAACTACACCATGAGGCGGACTTGTTGCACACCTGCTCTTGACCACGTTGTCAACCTCTCTCTTTCCGTCTTCTTGCGGTTGAAGTGCCGCCAAAAGAAATGGCCAGGGTGGGGATCGAACCCACGACCTTGGCGTTATTAGCACCACGCTCTACCAACTAAGCTAACCGGCCCTTGCTGCTCACTGGCCACCTGCACACTGCTCCTAACTTGTGGTATTCATTTGAAATGAGAGGGCACAAATGACTGTGGTATTTTTGTTGAGCTAAAATTGTGTGAGATTTGATATTTTTGATTTATAGGGCAGTTTTGAAGATTTGGATCTGCATGTGTGATTTTGACATGCTAGACTGCTGCTGATAAGTGATATTGAGGGACTTGAGATGAAAAAGATTTGATCAAAACTTGGTATGTGTGGAGTTAAAAGAGATTTTATAAGTCTGAGATGGAGCTTTGTTGTGGTGGAATTTTATCTTCAGGAACAGTGTCCTGTTAACAGTTTCTGTACTTTCAGGTGCAAGTCACCCTGCCATCAGCCATGGCCAACAACAAGGAACTGTTGAAGCTCCTGAAGGAGGTAACTGCCCCATTGCATACATGCTATTTTCAAAGCCCATTATGCTTTGGTTTGGTGTTCCCTCTTTTTAATACAGTTACTTTTGTTCCCATTAACCCTGCCAAGTAGCAGCTGTCAACTTCAATTATTTTGGAATCTGTTGGAGGTGAGGATTTAACACTTTTATTGAAAGACCAGTAAAAGTCAGACTGTCCATCATCTTTTCCCAAGCCCTGACAGGACCTATGCAACCGGTATACCCTTCTCCTCCAATTACTTTTTGCCTGGAAGACCACACTGCAGTCGCTATCCCAGATCACATACTTCAAAATCCTGGCTAACCATCGCCAGCCTTGCTAGCTCAGTCGGTAGAGCGTCAGTCTCATAATCTGAAGGTCGTGAGTTCGATCCTCACGTGAGGCACATTTTTTTATGCACGTCATGGGCCCAGGAGACACTCCACTTCCTTGCCTTGTCCCTGTGCAACAGGTCCGCTGGTTTGCTTTGTTACAGTGTTTTTTGTTGTTTGTTACACACCTGTGGCCTGTTGGTTCACTGGCCATGTTGTTTTTTTACACTCAATCACTGTTCACCAAACACATGACCAACTCAAAACCCTCACTTACACCACCATAGGGCAAAAAAGGAACACAACAATGCCAATTAACTACAGGGTAGGATGAAGGAGGGGTGAACCAGTGATCTGTTGCCCTGTGGCCAATATGCAAATGAATTGGCAATAACCCTAAGATATCCCCATAAACACGAAGCCGTCCTAGCTCAGTCGGTAGAGCGCAAGACTCTTAATCTTGTGGTCGTGGGTTCGAGCCCCACGGTCGGCTATCTCCTTTTTTCCCGTGGCGCCAGAGGGATGGGTCACGCAAAGGCTTTACCGCCGCGCAGCCTCCGGACTCAAGTCACGCGCAGCTGGTCCCGCACGAGAAAAGCTTGAAGTGGCGTCAGGCGGGAAGGAAAAACACTACCGAATTATTAGGTTTCGAGAGCACTTGAAGTGCCCGGTGGAACACTAGTGGACCGACACCTTCTCCTTGTAGTTCGGGGCGAGGAGCACGCTCTCCTCACCGGAGAGAGGCTCGACTTGGTAGCCGACCTGAATACCCTTCTTCTCGGCGTCGATGTAGGCGTGGCCTGGCAGGTAGAATTCGTAGGCGTGCTGCTTTGACAGAACCTGCCGATTGGAGAATTGCCATCGCCATTAGATAGTTGTTTGACAAAAAGCTGCGTGTGGACCACAACAACACGCACATGCGCGCTGGGCGATGAAAGATGGACGTACTGTGTAATGGGCAGAAGACTTCTCAAGGAAATCAAACTCCTCTTCGGTAAGATCCCGAAGGTACTTGGCCGGGTTGCCCACCCAGATCTAGCCCGAGCGTCCACGAGTGAGCTCACACGGGCCACACAGCAGGCGAGGGGGAAAAAAAAGCAGAGGTGAGAGGCCACGTCGTACCTGACCGCTGGGAATGCGCTGCCAAGCGGGGAGAACCGAGCCAGCACCAAGGATGGAGTGCGATTCCTGTAGTACAACACAGAGAGTAGCGGTGAGGATCGCGGCACAGAAAAAGACGCCGGGAGGGAGCCGCGATAGCGCGTACCATGTAGGAGCCAGCGCCGAGGACGGAACCCATGCCCACAAGGCAGTGGTCCTCGATCGTGCACGCCTTCAGCACGCACCGGTGACCTGCACGATCGTGCCCACGCCGCCGAAGGAAAACGTGAGCTCACATGAAGCCAAAAGACATCGAGGGAGCCAAGTGGGTGCAGAAAAAAAAAGAAGGAGCAAACGATGATGGTTGAGCGCAGCAGCAGCAGGAGTGTGGGGCTTACCGATGGTAACCCAGTGGCCAACGATCGTCGAGCCATCGTGATCCTCAGTGAGCTCTTCGTCGGCCTCAGTGATCACGGTTCCGTCCTACATGTCGCATCACAGGACAGCGGTAGACCAGGTCAGGAGAGGGGCACGCAGCACTCGGGCTCATCTTTTTTGCCCTGAGATTTTTCGAGCATTGATTTGAAAGAGAGAAGGCCGAGGTACCTGAACGTTGGTGCCCGCCCCGATGCGGATGAGCTTCGTGTCGGCTGCGCATCGATATCCAAGGTGAGATGGATGGGCCTAGCCACCAGACGAGAGGAGCACGATGGGGGGGGGGGTACCGTTGATGACACAGTCATACCAGACGGAGGCACGATCCCAGACCTCGACGTTACCAACGAGGGTGGCCGACGGAGCGACAAAGCTCTCCGACGAGATTTGAGGCCGCTTCCCGGGCAGATTTACCAGCGTAGTGTGCTTGTTGTCTGCAGCGTGGATTAATTAAATGGAGTGTATAATCGAGAAGGCTTTACAGCTCCCACCGCAAAATGGAACATCTCGATTCTGATTTGGGGGGGGGGTAATGCAGGCAGACTAAATTAAGAGAAGCAAGCGGAAGAATTCAAGACTGCCCAAAGGGGGGTTGAAGAATTGAATGGAACGTACAAAGGTCGTTGTAGGCCGTGGCCTGTACGGGAACGGTGAGACCGAACTTCTCGAGGGGAACATCAGGGATGTCGGCGCCGTTCCGCGTTGGGAGCACCGCGGCGGGCGTGCTGGGCCTCAAGCGTCGAAGCAGTCCCCTCATCATGCAATCTTTCTTCTTCAATTATTGTTGCTTGATTTCAAATCTATTTTTTTTTCATGTGTCGACACAATTTTTCACTCACCAGAACAACCTCGCTCACCCACACCACTGTACCCACCACGGCTTTATTGACAAGCTTGGTTCGAAGATGCAACCCTCCATTTTTAGAGAGGCAGTTCGAAGGAGACATTGAGCTGAGCCTCCTGCGCCATGTCCACGATCCTGGCCACCTTCACCGCCTGCGATCGGAAACATATGCATAAAGGATGTGAGTCGCTGTTGTTGACGTGCGGGTGTGACCAGAGGGCAATGCGGGTTGGGTCGGACCTTTTCGGCCGCCTCGTCGAGGTCGGAAGCGAAGATGATGCGGGCGCCAGAGTTCTCGAGAAGATCCTTGGCCTCCTTCATGTTGGTGCCGAGCAGGCGAACCACCAGAGGAACTGAGTGGGGCGACGAAACGTCGTTAGATGAGCTAAAGACACTAACCAGCGTCGTACTCCACAAAAAAACCGTTTCGGTTTAGTTAGGCGGCACTTACCCTTGATGTTGAGGACCTTCACAGCGTTGAGGATACCCATGGCGATGATGTCACACCTCATGATACCTCCGAAGATGTTGACCATCACGGCCTTGACCTAATCACCGCACAACAGTGAGCGTGAGATGGGCGTGGGTACGAAAAGAGCGAAAATGGGGCCAGCGCCGCGTACGCTCTTGTCGCTGGAAAAAATCCTGAAAGCCTCTGTCACCTGCTTCTCCGTAGCACCGCCACCGACGTCCAAGAAGTTGGCGGGGTTGCCTGAGGTTCGTGCGCGCGTGGTGACTTAGTCGAGAGCAAAAGGTGTGGGTGGAGGATGAGCGCTGTACGCACCTCCCTTGAGCTTGATGATGTCCATGGTGGCCATAGCCAAACCAGCGCCGTTGACCAGGCAGCCGATGTTGCCGTTCAGCTGAATGTAGTTGAGGTCGAACTTGCTGGCGGCCACCTCTCGGGGGTCCTCCTGGCTTTCGTCCCTGAGCGCAAAGATCTCCTTTTGTCTGAATTCGGCGTTGTCGTCAAAGCGCAGCTTGGCATCCAAGGCCACGACTGAACGGAGCCGGAGAGAAGAAGACGATCAGCCTCCGGTCAAGACATAGACGCCTGCAGCGGAGCGGTTCGTGGGCTCATGAAGCAGCGGGCGTACTCTGTCCCTGGTGATCCTCGACGAGGGGGTTGATCTCGGCGAGCGTGCAGTCCTTCTTGATGAAGAGATCGTAGAGCTTGGAGACCAGCTCCTTGGTCTGCTCCTTGACCTGATGACACGCACACGTTCAACCAATTCCACGTTAGTCGCTCACGCTTGTGTAATGAGCCCTGCAGCGAATTGTGGCACACACCTTGGTGCTCTGGAAACCGAGCTTGTCGGCGACAAGCTCGAGCTTCTCCGGGGTTACACCCTCCGCGATGTCAATGGGGATCTTGAAGATGGCGTCGGGGTGCTCGGCCGACAGCGTCTCAATGTCGCTACCGCCTTGAGTTGTCACACACGCCGCCAGGCCCATAGGAGTGAGATAGCGATCCCTCCAAATCGCGGCAGTTTCCGGCTGTGGCACGTGCTAAAAACGAAAAGGCGAGGAGCAGGGTGGGTCGGTGGTCGGTGCGACAGTGTACCCTTAGAGCTGCCGATGATGACAGGGCCGTTGTAAGCCCGATCCATGAGGATGGCGAAGTAGGTCTCGCGGCGGATGAACAATCGCTCTGCCAGATAGACCTTTTTTGCGGGGGCACGTGTGAGTGAGTGTCTGCGCGTGGTGGCGAGAGATAGAGTGGTGCGCGTACGACGTTGCAGGGCTTGCCCTCGGGTCCGGTTTGCTTGGTGAAGATGTGGTGGCCCAGCATCTTGGACGCCACGTCCTTCACTTCCTCTGGGCTGTTGATATATCACAATAAAATAAAATCAATATATAAGAATATATATACGAAATATGAATTCTGCTAATCCGATGGCGATTAGAGGGCAACGGCGTACGAGGTGCAAGTGTGAACGCCGCCCTTGAGCCCGCTGTCGAAGTGACCCACACCTCGGCCACCGGCCAGGACCTGTGCCTTAACAATTACATCGGCTGCTCGATCGTAGTAGATCAGGAGATGTCCAGCAAGCAAAATAGATCTATGGGGGGGGGAACGGAGGCGGAGGTTGGGTTACCGTCGCCTCCCTGCTGCATCTGCTGGGCGATCTTGTAGGCCTCCTCAGGAGAAGCGGCCACTTGTCCCTTGGGGACGCGAATGCCCTCCTTCCTCATGAGCTCCTGCGACTGGTACTCATGAATGTTCAACCACCTGCGTGCAGCTCCGGTCTGGGCCTGTGCACACAGTCGGGCAGCAAAATGGGTCAGTGATTTATGACGTATTTATTCGATTTCGATTAGAAGAAGAGAATTCAACAAATATAAAAGACAAATTTGAAAAATGAGGGTGTACACGAATGGCGATTTGAAGGGATTACAGAGAAGAGGGGGTACCGAAGTGGAGGTGAGGGTAGTCGCGGTGTTGCTCTGCAGGAGCGCCGATCTCGCAGGCAGGGAGCGGCCCATTCCGCCGGCCATACCCACACTTCTCGCGCCGCGTCGCCACATTTTGCAGGAGATTAACGAGAGTGCAGAGGGATGAGGATGAAGTGTTGGGATCGCAACAAGCCCCCTTCTTTTTCGGTATTCGCCGTGGTCTGGGTTGAAGGAGTTGCCCTTCCCGTTCGTTTTCGCCCAGCGCCGCCGGATATTTCCGAGCACGGCCAGGCAAGATGAAAAAGAAATGCCAAAAGTTGGAAAAGAAATTTTGAAGGAAAAGGTGTTTTCGAAGGGAAAGAAGCGCAGAAGCGCAATCTGCAAATCGGACGTGGCGTAGGGCTGTACAGTTGCTCTGCTGAGGGCTTGGTCGGAGCAAACACACACAGCGGAAGAGAGAAGATGGAACGTACAGGCGAGCAGCTGCGCGATGGGGCGAAGGCCGCATGGTCATCCCTCGAAACAGGTGCCAATAGAGTTGGCGAGAAATTCACCTCTTTCTTTTCCTCGCTGAACGTCTCTGCATCATCATCATCGTCATCATCCAAACCAGCCCAGCCGCAGCAAACATCTCCACGAGCTGGCGAACCGGCTCAACAGCAGCACGCCTACACAGCTGGCGGGGTGCTACGGCCACCCCCGCCCACGACGCCAGCAGGCGTGCCGCCGCCCGTACCCCCAAGGCCCACCTACACCACCCTCGACCAAGCCAGGTGCGTTCGCTTTGCATCTCTTATGTTTTTTACATCTTTTAATTATTTATTTCAAACAGGGCGGAGCAGGAGAGAAGGGAGCGCGAGGAGCGAGAGAGGAGGGAAAGGGAACGAGTGGCAGAGCTGCAGCGAGAACGCGAACGAGAACGCGAAAAAGAGAAGGAGAGAGCCGAGAAGGAGAGACAGAAGAGAACGGCGTCCGCAGGTGCCGGACCCGGGGCAGACGAGGGAGAGAGCTTCTACGACGTGCTGGGCGTGGAGCGCGATGCGTCGCAGGCGGCCATCAAGCGGGCCTACTACCGCATGGCCGTACGCTACCATCCCGACAAGAACCCCGACGATCCGCACGCCGAAGAAATGGTAGAGCCTTGCGCCTCTGTTGTTGGTTGTGTGTGGGCGCCGTGCTGGCGTGTCGTGTCGTGCGTGGTGTGGTGGCATGGCGAAGACTAAAGGCTCCCTCTTCTTCCGCGTCTGCTGCATGCCAGTTCAAGAAGATCAGCGAGGCCTATCAGATCCTGTCCGATGAAAAGAAGAAGGAGCTCTACGACAAGTACGGCAAGGTGCGTTCCCGGTCAGCTCACTCGTGTGTCTATGTGGTCCGTGGGTGTCTCTGTCGGCTCACTCGTGTGTCGTGTGTCTTGTGTGTGTTCTCCAGAGTGCGGTCGGGCTGGATCAGCAAGGTGGGGCGATGGACGCCACGCTGCTCTTCGGCGTGCTGTTCGGCGCGGGCAAGTTCGAGGACACCTTCGGCGACATCGAGGAGCTGATCGACCCCCAGATGTTCTCTGAGCAGCCAATGGACCCCGAGGCACACAACTATTCCCATCTGACTTCCCACCGAGTTGGCTTGTTCTGTACCCGCCTAACACCCACACCTGCAGGAAAGGGAGAAATACGAAAAGAAATTGCAAGAAACTCAGGACCGACTGGTGGAGCTGCTCAAGGCTAAGCTCCGGCCCTTCGTCCACGGGTACCAGAAAGGTACGACCGCCGCCGTTTGCTACGAGACAAGACAATTTTTCTGATTGCGCTGTGGTGATGGCACAACAACAGAGTTCAGTGAGATCGTGGCGGCGGAGATCGAGGAGAAGTTGAACGCTCCGGGAGGCCCCTCACTCCTTGCCCACATCGCCTATGTCTACACCCAAGAAGCCAAGTCGCACTCGGGCCGATGGCTGGGTCTGGAGGGCTTTGTCACAGGCATTCAAGAGACCGGTCACTACATCTCCGAAGCCGCCTCCGTCATCGGGTGCGCTCGTCTTCCCCTTTCTGACACACATCACACACACCACACAGGCTAACGCAGGCCGGCTTGGTGTTCCGCAGTGATCTGTCGCGCATGCAGGCGCTGCAGAAAGAGCTAGAGAAGAACCCCGAGATCGCTCAGACTGAGCAAGTACAGCAGCGAGCTGCCACTCTTGGCCTCGGCCTCATGTGGCGACTGGGCAAGCTCCAGGTGAGACTTCTCCTTTCTCCTTCGACTCGACTCGACTTCAAGGAGTGCTGGGCCACACCTGCTCACTTCATATTTTGTGCCTGTGCCGTGGTAGATCGAGCGTGCCGTGCGTCAAGTGTGTCGAGCAATGTTCTCCTCGCGCCACAGCGCGACCAAGGAGGAGCGCAAGCTGCACGTGGCCGCCCTCAAGCGGCTCGGCGAGCTGTACCACGCCGCGGCCAAGAATCACCGCACCAACCGCGCGGCGCCCTCGCTCACTGACATTGAGGAGATGCTACTCAAGTCCCACGACTACGCCCAGCAGAAGGCCGCCAGCGAAGAGGAGAGGTCGCGGGCCGAGGCCGAAGCTCAAGCGCAGGCCCAGCAGGCCCAGGCTACCACCACGTCCACGTCCACGTCCACGTCTCCGCCGCCGACAACTGCCAGCAGCGAACCACCACCGCTCGAAGATATCGATGAGGACGCCGACGCGCCCAACGCAAAGACCAACTTTGAGGCGCTTGACTGAGTGGCTACTCGCGCTGCTGGTTTGGAACCCCGTGGCGAATGGAGAACGTTCAGCAACATCGGCCTGCATTGACCACCACTATATGTGTGTTGCACATGTAGGTTGTGGGCAGTCCGTGAGACAAAGAGGGAGAGGATGACCAAGTGGACACGCTTGTTACACGACAATAACAGTCCAACAGTGGAAGTGGCACGTCACTCCCCGTTCAACATGCCGTGAAAGATTGCAGGCGACCAGTTGTCAATTCCTTCCGTGTGCTCGCCCGGGTCCGTTATTCCGTTTGGCGGAAGTTCGGGTTGCACACAGACCTACGCCAATCCCACGCCACGATCTCGTTCGGCGGGACTGCAACGGGGGTCTTGGGAACATTTTCCCCACGACTAACAAGTTCGAGGCGATTGGTCGACTGCACTTGCAGCCGTCAGGTAACGCGAGAACCTGGGCAAAGCTCATCATTCTGTGCTTCACCCTCGCAGTCACACCACCACGCAGACCGCCACACCGCCCAGCGCTTTCGCCTCCCTCCACTACCCCACCGCCATGGCGAAAGGCCTGTTCGCTCCGCTCTTGGTCACCGTTCTGTTCGTGGTGGCCTTCCACGAAGGTACCTCCTGCCTATCAACAAGAACACTGGAAGATGGTGGTGGGCCGCGACTGAGAGACCCTGGTCTCTTCTCCAAAGCAGGAGCAAGCTCCGGCATCATCATAGAAGGCGCAGGCTCGCCCAGCACCACGTCCGTGTTCGACGTGTGGATAGCCGGGTACCGCAACGTGCGCGACGATGTCAGGTACACCACTGCCCCAGCGGTGACCTTTTTTTCCGCGCCGCTTTACGTTCCGCCGCGCCATTCGCTCGTAGGATCAAAATTCCACAAATATCTCTGACGGCACGGTGTGCTGGTGGGCAAAATTGTTGGAATGCAAAGCAGTTGACTGACCGGAAAATGGTCTGCCAGCATAAATTTCACAGGCTCCGGAACAAGCGCGGCGCTGACCTCGTACGACAACGGCAAGCTGGTACGCCCGAGACAAAACCGACATCTACCAACTCCTCCGGGGAATCTCAGCCCTCTTCGCCGTCTCACGTTCTTTTCACGTACAGGACTTCATTGCGCTCGACCGCGCGATCCCGACCGATGAAGTCGAGTATGGCTACCTCACGCAGTTCCCGCTCGCTGGTAACGGTCTGGCCATGGGCTACAGCCTCCCCGAACTCAACTCCACTGACCCTACCCTGGTACGGCTCTCAGACCGATCGCCCACGAATAGCTCACAAACCCGAATTGTTGTAGATCCTCGACCGGGAAACCCTGGGCTTGGTGTGGACCGGTGACATTGCCCTATGGAACGACTCGCGCATTCAGGCGCTCAATCCCGCCATCGCTCACAAGCTTCCCGCCGAGCCCATCGTCCTGGGCTACAACGACAACGGCATTCTCTCGACCACCGAGGTGCTGAAGCTCGCCCTGGACAGCTTCAGCAGCGAGTTCAACTCCGCGTTCGCCGCCGCCAATCGCACCTTTGGCAGCATGCCGCCTGCGAAGCGAGGGTCGGCCGAATTGGTGGGTTCTTCCACTCAGCTCAGAGTTACCTGGTTGAAGGTACTGCAGCCTTCGCCTTTGTGCATACTTCTGGCCTTTGGCTGAGACTTCTCGCAACTCTCAGGAGCAACCCCACCGCATGACGTTCGTCACTTGGGCCGATGCGGCCGGCCTGGTCCCCATGGCGCGCATGATCAATAAGGCCGGGACGCTGGTCGAGCCGTCGGTGGCGTCGGTTCAAGCCGCGATGAACTCGTTCAACGCCTTCTACGCCCAGAGCACGTTCGACGTCGACATCTACGACGCCAACGGCACCGACGCGTGGCCGCTCGCCTACATGACCCACTTCGCCATCAGCCAGAACGCCAGCTCGCTGGACTGCACCAACATTAAGGAGCTCCTGGCCTTCCTGGCCTGGGTTCACACCAACGACGCGGCTTCCGACAACGCCCAGGCCGTGAACGTAGCGCCGCTGCCGGTGAGCTTCCGCAAGAAGCTCGTCAGCCTGCTCAGCACGGTTAATTGTAACGGGGAGAAGGCCTACACGTCGTCTTTCCTGATCGGCGTGGGCACCCAGATCACGCTGTTCACCTCGTGGGCTGTGTCGTGGTCGACCGACACCACGACCATGAAGTACTACCAATCACTGTCGTCGATAGCCAAGGATCAGCTGGTCACCCTGGACGAGGACTACGGCGTCGTGAGCAACGGACTCTCCGCCTCCGACTACGAGCTGATGCCCGACGTCGCCATCATGCCCGCCGCCGCTTACGCTGTCGTACCTGGTATTCTCTTCGTGTGTGTGTGTATGTTGTGTGCGTGCGTGTGCGTGTGCGTGTGCGTGAATTTGATTTGACACAGCCAAATGCAGCGTACTACGTCCCAGAGCTGGACGGCGAGACATTGGTGTTGGACTTCAACACTACGGCCGCAATCTATCTGGCCCACATCTCCCGGTGGAACGACCAGCGCATCAAGGATCTCAACCCCGGCATCGCCCACCTTCTCCCCGATGAGCCGATCCAGGTGGCCACCGCCACCGGCAATTCGGCCGTAGGCCAGCTCTTCACCGACATGCTGAGCTCCACCGTCCCCGAGTTCAACTCAACTGTACGTGTAGTCATTTTCTTCTTCTTTTATTATTCAATAGGCACCACTGACGCTCATCGCTGTTGGACAGGTTGGCGTAGGCTCGGTGGTGACGTTCCCCGTCCAGTCCGACCCCAATCGATCGCTAGCCAGCTCGGAAGTAGATGGCGTTATTCAGGCCCTGAGGGCCACACCCTATTCGTTCGCCTTTTGGTGGTTCCATGACATACTCCTGGTACACCAAGTCCTTTATGACACATTAAGAGCTCTAGATCACATTGGCTGACGACATTCATTCATTCACAGAGCCGGACCCTGAACGCTGCATCGATGATCAATACCGCCGGTGTTGTGGTGAGTCCCAGCTTGAGCACCGTGTCTAGCGCAGTCGACGACTACCTGGCGGGGGGCGGCTCGATAACCTATAATTCTCTTGTCCTCGGTGCGCCTTCGTTCTTTCCTCTTTTCCTTCGTTCTTCGTTCTTTCTTTCGCCTCTGACCTGATCGATGCCGTGTTTGCCGAATGCAGGAAAGAGCCCAACAAGTTGGCCAGTGGCCACGTTTGGCGCCTTCATCTACCGCCAGGCCGTCATGCCAGACTGCACCGTGGCCAAAGCGCTCGCGGACTACTTCTATTGGACACAGACCAACGCGGAAGCCCAGCGGATCGCAGACAGGTACTGTTGAATTGTGTGCTGTGCGGCGGTTCGTGTGCGATAACCAATGTTCACTGATGTACATTCAGGCAAGGCATACTCCTGACCACCAGCATTGAAAGCATGAAGAGAAATTTCTACGTCCTCCTCAAGAACTTCACCTGCGACGGTGTAGCGGCGAGCAGTATCCACAACTGCATCACCGACCAGGGCCAGGTCTGCTCCGACGCCGGTAGCTGCGTCGAGAATGCCTGCCTGTGCGACTCGGGTCGCGAGGGGAAGTACTGCGAGGACTTCAAGTCCGACTCATCCGACACTGAGGCACTGGCCATCGGCTTGGGTACGGTCGCTCATCACCACACGCTCAACCGCACACATCGCACACGCACATCGCACATCGCACACGCGCAGCAAACTAAACGGAGTGTGCGGTCAGGTGTGGGCATTCCGGTGGTGAGCCTCGCCTTCGTCGGGCTGCTGGTGTTCATCGTGGTGCTTCTGGTGCTGGTTCAGCGCAAGGGCAAGGGCAACGACAACTGGGAGATCCGCTACGACGAACTCGAGGTCGGCGAGCACCTCGGCACGGGCGGCTTCGGCGAGGTCCACCGGGCCACGTGGAAGGGCACCGAGGTGGCCGTCAAGGTCATGGCGTCGGACCGCATCACCAAGGAGATGGAAAAGTCCTTCAAGGACGAGGTGCGACTCCGTGACCACCTTGTCACCCCAATTGCGAGTGGCTGAGCGCGGGTGCGGTAATGGCAGGTGCGGGTGATGACGGCGCTGCGGCATCCCAACGTGGTGCTGTTTATGGCGGCGTCGACCAAGGCGCCCAAGATGTGCATCGTCATGGAGTTCATGTCGCTCGGCTCCCTCTTCGACGTACGTACAATTTCTTATATCTTAAGTGCGTACCAGCTGCCCCCTGATCTGACCCAACACAAACCCACACAGCTACTTCACAACGAGCTGATTCCCGAGCTGCCTTTCGCGCTGAAGGCCAAGATGGCCTACCAGGCCTCCAAGGGCATGCACTTCCTCCACTCCTCCGGTACGCCACCACCACCCACAACCTACACAGAAGCGCACAACCCGCACAGAATCTCAAGAATTGACTGATACATCCCACCACACATGGCACAGGCATTGTGCACCGCGATCTGAAGTCGCTCAATTTGCTGCTCGACAACAAGTGGAACGTGAAGGTGAGCGACTTTGGGCTGACCAAGTTCAAGGAGGACATCAAGAACAAGGGGTCGCGCGACATCGCCGGCAGCGTGCACTGGACCGCCCCCGAGGTGCTCAACGAATCGGCCGACGTCGATTTCATCCTGGCTGACGTGTACAGCTTCGGCATCATCCTGTGGGAGCTCTTGACCCGCGAACAGCCCTATCTCGGCATGAGGTGCGTGTCGTGCGTGTTGTGTGTGTCGTGCGTGTGGTGTGTGTGTTGTGTGCGGATTGCTGATCTATGTGCGCAGCCCAGCGGCGGTGGCTGTGGCGGTCATCCGCGACAACCTGCGGCCGAGGATGCCCGAAGAAGAGTCGCCGGCCACCTGCCCGCCCGAGTTCGAGGAGCTCATCACCAGCTGCTGGCATCACGACCCGACCATCCGCCCCACCTTCCTCGAGATCATGACCCGCCTCTCCTCTATGCACGGTGACTCCACCTCGGGCGGGGGCGCCTCCTTCACCTCCAAGACCTCCACCTCCAATTCGTCATCGTCGGGCTCGGGGCCAGCCACCGCCGGCGCCAGGCCCAACAAGGGCCTCTACAGCTCGTGGACGCTGCCGTCGGCGTCGACTCATTCTTCGGGCGGCAACTCATCGACGTCTTCTTCGAATTCCTCATCATCGCGCAACTACTCGGGCGGGGCGGCCGGGACCGCAGGCGGCGTGCGCGCGCCCGAGGGCGAGGTGACCATCGTGTTCACCGACATCACCCGCGCCGCGTCGCTCTGGGAGTTCAACCCGGCCGCCATGCGCGACGCCACGCTACTGCACAACCAGACCCTGCGCGCCGCGCTCCTGCGGCACCGCGGCTACGAGGTGGTTTTCATCCGCGACCGCAACAGCGGCGAGGGCTCGTTCTGCATGGCCTTCCAGCAGGTCGCCGACGCGCTGGCCTGGTGCGCCGACGTCCAGCGCGCGCTGGTGGCGCTCGAGTGGCCCGAGGCTCTGCTAGACCACCCGGGCGCGGCGGAAGAGTGGGGCGACACCGACGACCGCGTGCTCTACAAGGGCCTGCGCGTGCGAATGGGCGTGCACGTGGGCCAGGCCAAGGCCGTGCGCGACCCGATGACGCGGCGCGTCGAGTACATCGGTCCGACCGTCAACGCCGCCGCGCGCATCACAGCCCTGACTCATGGCGGCCAGATCGTCATGAGCCACGTCGCCTGCGACAAGCTCAGGGAAAGCACCCCGGCCGACGCCTGGGAGGCCACCAGCAAGCGCCTGCTCGCCCTCGGCAAGTTCGAGATTCCCGATTCGCCCCAAGGTCTGTACCAACTCTTTCTGTGTGCGTGTGCGTGTGCGTGTGCATGTGGTGTCGTGCGTGTGCGGTGGTGCGTGTGCGTGTCGTGCGGTGGAGACTGATCATTTTTTCCTTTATGGTCGTAGGCGCCAAGCTGTACGAGCTGAAGGCCGAGGGGCTGGAGGCGCGGTTCTTTGGCGGGGTCACGCTCGAGGGCAATACCGCGTCATCGTCCAACAGCCCCTCGTCGGGCTCGGACCGCCCGCCGCGTGATGTCAGCGGCGCGAGCGGCAGCGGCAGCGGCAGCTACGAGGACCGGGCCGAGCTGCAGACGGCCGTGGGCGAGGGCATGATGTTCAAGGAGGACACGTTCCTGACGTCGGCCAACCTGTGCCGCTGGATCATCGACTTTGGCGAGATCCAGGTGGGCAAGCAGGTGGGCCTGGGCTCGTACGGCGTGGTCTACCGCGGCAAGTGGAAGGGCATCGACGTGGCGGTGAAGCGGTTCATCAAGCAGAAGCTCGACGAGCGGCGCATGCTCGAATTCAGGGCTGAGATGGCATTCCTCTCTGAGCTGCACCACCCCAACATCGTCCTCTTCATTGGTACCTTCAACGCAACACACGACACACACGACACACACGACACATACGACACATACGACACACACGACACACACGACACACACGACACACACGACACACGCATGACTGACGAAGGGGTATGTCAGGCGCGTGCGTGAAGAAGCCCAATCTGTGCATTGTGACGGAGTTCATGAAGCAGGGCAGCCTCAAGGACATCCTCTCCAACAACGCCATCAAGCTGACGTGGATGCAGAAGCTGCGCATGCTGCGCTCCGCCGCGCTCGGCATGAACTACCTCCACTCGCTCCACCCCGTCATTGTGCACCGCGACCTCAAGCCTTCCAACCTTCTCGTACGCCACACGCACACACCACCGCACGCGCACACGCACACGCACACGACAATTAATAATGAGTCGGAATGTGGTGGAATGTAGGTGGACGAGAACTGGAATGTGAAGGTGGCCGACTTTGGCTTTGCGCGGATCAAGGAGGAGAACGCGACCATGACCCGCTGCGGCACGCCCTGCTGGACGGCGCCGGAGATCATCCGCGGCGAGAAGTACGACGAGCGGGCCGACGTGTACTCGTTCGGGGTGGTCATGTGGCAGGTGGTGACCAGGCGCGAGCCCTACGCCGGGCGCAACTTCATGGGCGTCTCGCTGGACGTGCTCGAGGGCAAGCGGCCACAAATCCCCAACGACTGCCCGCCGGCCTTCCGCAAGCTCATGAAGCGGTGCTGGCACGCCTCGGCCGACAAGCGCCCGCGCACGGAGGACATAGTCGCCCTGCTCGACCAACATGTCGGCGACGACGACAACAACGGCGACATGCCCGCCATCAACCCCATGGTCTGAGACACATTGTACAACACCGAACCAGAATGGATTTTTTTTGTGTTTACGACTCCTCGGCGGTGAGACTCTTGAGGGCTTCCATGGTGAGGTGGAGCGAGCCGTTGTTGGCCTCGAGCACGTCGCGTATGATGCCCGGGTCGAGCTCCCGGAAGGCCGACATCGCGCTGAGCGTCTTGACCTTGCCCGCCGCGTCCCGGTCCTTGTCCCACTGCTTCGCCGCACCGTCCTCCTCCTCGCTGATCGCATCATCGTCGTTGTCGTCACCGCCGCCTCTGCCGGCCGTCGTCGGCGTCGGGGCGGGCTTGCGCCCGGGCGTCGTCTGCTGCGTTTTGCTCTTCGACTGCGGCGCGCGATCGCCGGCCTCAGTCTTGGGCGGATGCCAGAACTGCTTGCGGTGGTCGGGGTTGACCCGGTAGCACGTCGCACCGTACCGACACACCGGCTTCCCGTTCTTGTAGGCCTGCTTACTCTCGCCCTCATCTGCCACACACCGCACACGCACACGCACCACCGCACACGCACACGCACCACCGCACACACGACACGCAATACAACACACAAGAACACGTGTAAATTGTGGGTGCCTATCAACGTAGCGAGGGAGAGCGCGTACCGCCGTCGTCAAAGCCCTGCAGATATTGCTTGGCCTCTCGCACCGCTTCGGCGTCATCGTCGTCGTGGCGCGCGCCGCCGCGTCGCTTCGTGCGTTGGAATTCATCGTCGTCGTCATCATCGCCGCCCTCCTCACCCAGGCTGGCGTCGTTGCGCACCAGGAACCCGTCGTCGTAGTCGTACTCGTTGGGCTGGCCGTCGTCGTCGCTGTCGATCGTGCCGTCCAGATCGATCCCTCCACCGCCCTTTTTCTTGGCCTTCTTCTTCGGCGGGGCCTGCACGTCATAAGGCGTGTGCCGTGTGCCGTGAGTCAGTCAGCCCCACCCAATCTTAACGTCTTATGAAAACGCACCTTTGGCTTTGGCTCGGCCTTGGCCTTTTTGGCCGCAGGGCCGCCAGGCTTGGGCACAGCGGCGGGCGCCTTTCGCTTCTTGCTGGCCGCCGCCTCGGCCGCCTGGCGCTGGAGCTCCTCGTCTTCGTCGGTCGCCTCGTCGTCTTCGTCGGCCACCTCGACCTCGACCTCCTGCATCACCTTGTCCGTGCGGGTCTGCACCACGTAGACGTCGTCCACGAACAGGATGAAGCGCGACCCGTTGGGCAGGTCGACCTGCTGGCCCTTGGTCAGCGGCTGCGGCTCGCCCTCCTCGTCGAACACGAAACTGGTCGGATTGTTCCCCAGCTGCCGCCCCACCACCCGAACCACGTGGTGAGTCGTGTGCGTGTGCGGTGGTGCGTGTGCGGTGGTGTGTGCGCGCGCGCGTGTGTGTGCGCTGTGGTGCGTGGCTGCGATAGGGCGTACCATGGTCAAGGTGACGGTCTTGTCCGCCTGGGAGGCCACCAGCTCCACTAGCGTTCGAGAGCCAACCAAGAAATTGAGCCACACACACACGACACACACCACCGCACACGCACGCGCGCACACACACACCACCGCACGCATGCGAACAGAGGGCGAGGAAAGAATGTGCGTACGTTGGGTGCGAGAGCAGCGCTTGTCGGTGATGCCGGTCTCATCGCCGCGGCCCAGCACGAGGGGCTGTGAGTCCATGGGCAGGTACTTGGGCGTCTTGGTGCCCTCCTTCAGTATTCGCGCCCGAAACAGCTCCACTGTGCAACACCACACCAAATGAGCCATGTGTCATGCGTTGTTTGCTTGTGCGGTGATGCGTGTGCGGTCATGTGTGTGTGTGTGTGTGTGTGGTCATGTGTGGTGCGTTACCTTCGACGTTTCGCTTCTCTGTTCGCTTGGCCTTGGCCTTGTTCTTGTTCTTGTTGAGCAGGTGTGCGGGTATCACCGGCTCGGGCGCCTTGGCCTTTGCTTTCTTCTTCGCGGGCGTCTTCTTCTTTTCCTCACCGCCGGACCCTCCATCACCCCCGCCCAGGTACGGATTCTCTATATCCTCTCCCGCCGCAAATGCTGCACCCGCTCCATCGGTTAGCCGACACCGCACGCACCGCACGCACCGCACGCACCGCACGCACCGCACACACCGCACACACCGCACACACCCATAAGAAAGAAAGAAAGAAAAGGGTGCCTTGAATGTATTCGCTCAGCTTCTTTTGGTCGTTGTCATGGAGGTGGCTGTAGCCTTCCAGGTCGTCTTCGCTGTCGATCTTCTTTGTTGTCTTACGCGCTCTCTTCAGGTGCTGTGTGCGTGGGTGCGTGCGTGCGTGCGGTGTGGACGTAAAGAGTGAGTGAGCGCGTGCGGTCGCGTGCGGTCGCGTGCTTGTGTGAGCGAGCGGGAGAGTGGGTAATACCAACCTGGAACACGCACGGAGCGTGGTACCAGTCGGTCATGGTGCCGCCCTCGGTGAAGCGGTCGTTGGGGTAGGTCTTGCCTACCCGCATCTCGCCCTTCTCAATCTTTTTCTTGCACGCCGCAAGCTTGCACTGCACCCATTAACGGATGCTGCGTTAGGTTTGGATGAAGAGCTAATTTTGCTACGGACATCATAATATCTGCCATGAAGCAGGATTTTACCACTGCTCGCCCGAGGGATGCATACTCGATCTGCACACACGAGAAATTAATCAATACAATTAATTTGTGTTTTAAGAATCGAATCATCTTTGGTCTTCGTGCACCGATCTCCCAGAAACAAAACTGTACCTTGTAAGTGTTATTAGCCATGGTGGTCCTGGCCTGGATTCAGGAAGTGATTAAATAAAAACTAGAAAATCTGTTCTGCCGTTGGTCGCGAAAAAACAATTCCAGGAAATAACCGGAGTCAACACTCGTCTGGCAGATAAAAAATGAAGCTTCAGGCCTGCTGGGGGTCGAACCCAGAATCTCCTGATTCGTAGTCAGACGCCTTTCCATTGGGCCACAGGCCTTGCTTATTTCCAAATCGCCCTATTTACACGTGTGTGTCTGTGGCTCCCCTGCAGATAAAAGAAGTTTGGCTCTGATGGTGGACTTAGGCACTGACAAGTTCATACAGCCCTTTGCAATAAATACAGAGATTCATGCAGGTGTGTACACTGCTATCGGTCATGGTGAAAGCGCTGGGTATTCGCCCACCACATCCTTCTCTGATCTCTTCTTCAGCTGCTTGACTTCTTCTCTCAGCTGCCTCAGCCCCTCCTTCACCTCCTCTTGGTCTCTGTGCGATCGACCACAACCACGTCAGCACGGTGACTCGTGCACTGCAATTCAATGCAAGGAATGGAATGTTTGTTTGGGGGGTACCGGACGACGTTGCGAAGCTTCTCCGTGATGTCCCTGGTGCCGGAAAGGAGGTCGGCCTTTCGCTGAGTGAACTCCTCTTCGCCAAAGAGCGACTGGAACTCCTGGTGATACCGCAGCAGCGACTGCGTCTCGTTGACCAGTTCCTTTCGCTCCTGTGTGGCAACTGATGTCAGCGTCTGCCGTGCCGACAACGATTGATCGGGTCGTGTGTGAGAGAGGGGCATGATGATACCTCGAGCAGCTGTTTCTTGGTTTCGTTGAGCTCCTTCTCCTCCTTCTCGAGTTTCTTCTTCTTGAGCTTGATCTCCAGCGACCGCTTCTGCGCCCCCGCCTTCTCGTCTTTTCGCAGAATCCTAACATCGCGCGCGACCGGCGGTGAGCCTCGGGGGCTGGCTGTCGATCGTGAGGTGGTACGTACTGGAAGGCCATGTTGAGGCGAGGCGTGCCGGCGCTCACCATGAACTCCGGCGCTAGCCGCGCCAGCGAAGACACGGTGTCCTCCGCGTCTATGTCAGCCGACAGCGACATGCTGATCGGCTTCTTGTGGACGTACGCCACCAGCCCCGAACTGCACGAGGTGAGTACCGACTCTCGATGAGCGAGAGTCCGCAGGGGGGGACGTGTGTGTTCACTTACCTCTCATAGGCCTCGAGCTCTGACACGTTCTCTTGGAATACGATCCGCAATAGATCGCTACGGCTTACGATCGAGTTTTGGGCCTGACCGATCCACAGGTCAGATTGTATGGGTTGGGTGCGTTAGCAGACACTATGTGTCGTGTTGCGTTGTGTGGCGCGTGTGAAGTGTGTTTTTGGCGAACGTACGATGAGTTCAATCATGCGCCACAGGCGGAGGTACTTCTCAAAGGCGTCGTCCTTCTCGAGGGCCTGCTCCTCGCCATCCGCCGAGATCACCGGTCGCAGGCAGCTCTCGAGAGAGTCGGACACAATCTGCAGGCTGTCGCTGATCATGTAATCAATGACCTCTGCATTCACACAAACACAATGCACCCATGGCATTCCAGCGGGGTCAGCCAGGGTCGCTTACGCTGACCGCACAGAGATTGGGTGATAAAATAATAATGAAATTGTAAAGAATGCCAATCAAATCGCTCCTCGCGATGTTGGTGAAGCGGTGCGTACGAGATGGCGTGTAGCCGCGGAGGAGACCCGTGATGACTGTGTCCAGATCTTTGACTTGGCCGCCCACGAACGTGGCGAGGCGTTTGATCTCCGATTCGGTCAATGGTTCCTAGAAATTGGAGTCGAGGCGTTTAGTTAAGAGGACATGCAAGCTGTGGGCAACGACAGACACCACTACGCGGTACTTACCTTGAAGTGCTGTGTGAGCAACTGATTGACCTTCTTGAAGTGGTGCCTGACCGTGGACACCGACGCGTAGCCGAACTTGAGCACCTCCCGTCGCGATCGGAATGCAGAATCTGCACGTGTGTGTGTTGTTGTTGTCGTTGTCGTTGTTGCAGGATGCGGTGGTTGGTGCAAGTCAGATAAAGGGAACGAATCAGCGGCCAGAGCTTTTCCAAAAACCTGATAAAGAAGCCCCAACCAAAATCAAGAGAAGATTATAAAGTACGCGTGTCGAGCTCCAGGTGGCAGAACGAAAACGATGTCACCTGCACGCGTTCATTGTGGGAGGAGGGAGACGGACAAACAATCAACCAATCAGGGCGGAGAGGCATTCGCATGCGTGGCATCGCCTTAATAAGGATAGCTTGTGTTGCGTTGTATAGGAAGAGGTTGTATTACGTACAAAGACAACGTGGCACAGCTTGTTGTCGGTCAAGAAGAGGCACCAGTCCATGAACTTGAGGATCTGCTTGTCCTCCTGTATAGATGACAACGCACCCGCGCCGCCAACAGTCCATTCGACACGCATTGGAACCAAATCAGGGTCATTGCAGTGCCTCCAAGCGATAGTGGAATGTCAAGGACGGTGAGCGTACGTAGATGTTCTTCGAGCGGAGGTTGAGATCATTGGAGCTCCCCAGGAAATGAAAGTCTGAAGCGCACATCACGCACACAATGTGGGTAACGGATGTGCGTGTGCTTGTGCGTGTGCGTGCATAAATGCTGATGTGGCTTACCATTGATGCAAATGACGGGAATGCCGTTGGGCCACCCCATACGCTTTTGGTCGGAAAGCACCTGCTCGAAGCAGTGGAATGCCTTGTTGATCTCCTCCGCGCTCAGAACTGTGTATCCCACCCCCGCGCCATCGACCCACCAGTCAATCGCAACTTCCCCCCCCCATCATTCCTCATTCCTCATTCCGCCCCAGAAGAGCGAAACGCGAGGTCGCAGAAAAGAGAGAAGAGAGCGCGCACCCATCTTGCTCTCGTCCTTCAGGAAGATCCGCGCGATGAATTTCTTGAAAAGAAGTGGGGGAGAGAGGATAAGAACCGACGGCTCGAGAAAAGAAGGCCAAAGCGTGCGATTGATTGCGTACCGTGGGCGGAAGAATGTAGCTGATTTTGTTGATGAACTGCGTGAGGATCTCCTCGCCATTGATTACTGTGGCGCACAATAGGGTGGTGGTGGTGGTGGTGGTGGTGGTGGTGGTGGTGGTGGTGGTAAGTGGCATCATCAGCAAAAGAGGGAAAAGAGAAAGACGAAAGTGGAAGTGGAAGTGGAAGTGGAGAGTACCGGGCTCGCGTTGGAGGTCGAGGTAGACCACCATCTTGCGGTTTTCGATGGCCTGCTCCAGGATGTGGCTCTTGCCCGATCCGTCCGGACCCACAAATATGCACGGCCCTGTCCACACCAAGCGTCACTCGCTTGTCGTGCGTGTGCGTGTTGCATGTGTGCGGTGCGTGCGGTGCGGTGTGTGCGGTGCGTGTGTACCGGCAGGTGGGTGGTTGAGGTAGTTGCGTAGCACGGCGGCTTCGTTGGGCCTGTCGAAGGGCGGGTAGGGTCCGGCCGACGGGGGTATGTGCTTGGGCTTGAGCAGACGCATCTTGATCCACGTCTTCTGCGCTCGCACGGATCGCACGAAGAAGTGGAACGACACGTAGCCCATGCCGAACACTCCACCGATGATCGTGCGCCACGCCCACGGGCTCAGATGACGACGCGATTCGAGATTTGTGATCACGTATTGGCATGGAGCAGAAGATGATGTGGAGCTCAAGGATGAGGATGAGGACGCGATGCTGAGGATGCCACCGCCGCCTCCGTGGTGGTGATGTGATGGCCGCCCGTGGATACGATTGAAGGAGCTGAGGGACGACGAGTGACGACGGTGGATGGAGCTGAGGAGTTTGGAGGAGGCGGAAGTTGTGGCAAGGCTGGATGCAGAATAGGAAGATGAGCAGAGGGGCAGGTGTGCAAGAGGCGTGGAGTCACCACAACCACCGCGCATTCCGAGGACAGATGTTGTAGAAGATGAAGATGGGATGGCGCGGCAGCCTGACGATCGCGTGACAACCGTGCCGGCGGCAGTGCCGGCACCACTACGAGCAGCCCGCAGCATGAGAAGGCAGTGCACTTGTGCTGTGGGCCTTCAACGCGATTGCAGCTTCAGACGCACACGCACTTTCCGTTGCCCAAACCTCAAATTACCAGGAAATGGTCATTTCTCAAAGAAGTAGCAAAGAAAACATCAGAGAAAATGAGGAGGCACGAGGCAAATGAATGTACATGAGGTAGAGGATGTTCGGTGGGTCATCCTGTGGTGGGACCATGGTGCGGTGCGCAGTGGCGTAGGAGGTTCACAGATTGAAGTTCTTCACGTGGATCTGGGCGACTTCAAGCGAGAGCATTCGCGCGCCGCATGAGCAGGTATAAGTTTGGCTCCACGGGTGGCGACCCTGCTCGGCCTCTCCCAGCACGTGTGCATTCGTCGGTCCTGCTTAGCCAAAGGTGCACGTTAGATCACCTTCCAGATCGCGACCTTGGCGGTTGATTCAAGAAGAGAAGACGGTCTATCACCTGCTTGTGACTTTGAGTTCGCAGCTCCCTTGCCTGCGTGGACGGCACGTCAGTTTGAGGTCATCTTTGCTTCTTCAACACAGTGAATAGAGGAGTACCGTCGGTAGGGGCGTCCTTCCCTCGGGTGAAGACCAGTCCGGCAGTGGCAGACACCATGTGGTCGCCCTCCTCGCTCGGCGCTTCCCAGGGCTTCAACAATACGGGGTAGAGAGCCAACAGCTTCTTCGCCTCTTGCTTGTCTGTACACCAGCACAAGCCCATGCGTTGGCATCATGCTAGCACAACAGTGGCAGGCCCCGGACTGCGTACGAACCACGGATGTCTTGCACGTAGTTGCTGGGGAAGTAGCCGCTGCGGCCCTCCTTGGAGCTTACGCCGCCCCACCAGTTGAAGAACTTCTTGCACACATTCACGTATTCGCCCTTCGTGAACGACAGCTCCTTGTCGTTCTGCCCCTGGAAGTTGTACAGCGTGACGCACAAGCACACGTGTGCCGATTCAGCGTCGCCCATCTTATTGCTGCTCCTCTGCCCTCCTTTTGTCTGACAGTTGGCTGAAGTCCTTGCTTTCTTGTGGTGCTTGCTGTTGAGGTTGAAGTTGAACGGAGACACCACGCCCCTACGCCCAGCTTGCTTAATTTGGACTTTTTCGAAACAGGTCTCAAATCCAAAACGAAATTTTTGTAAGGCATGTTTAGAAAAGAAATAGACAGGAAATAGAGCAATATTGTTTGTTGCGTTTGGTGAGGGAGGTTTCAGCGCCTCGGGCAGCACGACGAAGACGACCACGTCACCAGGCCTGTGTGCATACATCGACCACAACAACCAGCCGCGCCACATGAGTTCCTATCTGCAACAGCCCCGTGGCCAGGGGCGCGGAGAAGCTTCATCGCCAGCGCCAGTACCCAACGTACGTTTGCACCATCTCTCCCCCTTCTAAGACTTCTTCTTCACGACTTCAGCTCGCCCCCCAAGCGAGCCACAAATCTCACAATACATCTTCAATTCATTTGAAGGAAGAAGATGAAGCCGCTACGTCGATAACAGGTGGCGGCAGCCAGCGCAGCAGCACGACCAATGAAGCGGTGGAAATGGTCGAGCGGGTCGTGTCGGGCACCCTGGTCGAGCTGCGCCGAGCCCAGCACGAGGCGGCCATGCGCGCCGAGCAGATGGACCTCCAGCTGCGCCTGGCCAGCCGCGTGTGGGAGCGCGACGTGATGCAGCTCCAGACCCGCAACGACGCCGCGCTCGAGTCGGCCCGCGCGGCCCACCTCGCACACGAGCGGGCGGCCGACGCCCGTTTGACCGTGGCCCACACCTGGCTGGCCCACGCCCTCGCCGACCTGGCCGAGCGGCGGCTCGAAGCCAAAGCCCTGCGCCACCACCAACAGCAGCATCAGCAGCACATGCAAGGCAGGCGCACATCAGACGAAGAACCCTCATTTTGGGAGGTGCGTGTGTCGTGTGCGTGTGCGTGTGCGTGCGTATGCGTGTGCGTGTGCGGTGCGGTGTGTGCGGTGCTGATGGAGAGGAGGGATTGCAGGTGCTAAGGTGGAAGAAGGGAGCGGCGGACGAGGGGAGCAGCAGCAAAGGAGGAGGAGGCCGGGAGGCCGACAAGCGGCGCGAGGCCGAGCGGGAGCTGGCCCAGTGCCGGGCCGAAAACGAACGCCTGCGCCTCCTCCTCAAACGCACCACCCACACCGCACAGGTACCATTCCACGCATTCCACACACACTCTCTTGAGAGCCCACCACCGACCACCTGCTGTATGCGCACCGTGTGTGTCGTGTTTGCGTGCGTGCGGTGCGTTGTGTGTGTGCGGTCGTGCGTGTGCGGTCGCAGGAGTGGGAGGAGTTCTCGAGTCGGGAGGACGCGATGGAGCAGATCAAGTCCGACAAGGTGGTCATGACGTTCCTCCACTCGCGGGTACCCTTCCCCCCTACGCCAACCTTGGGCTGCGCGAATTGAGCTCAAACTTTTTTCTTATTATTTTATTCTGGGGCAGGTGGGCGAGCTGGAGCGGCAGGCCAACACCGAGCGCGAGCAGAGACAGAGCGCCGAGAAGCGGGCGGCCACGGCCGAGGCCGAGAACGAAGTGCTCAAGAAGCGCGTGGCCGAGCTGGACGGTACCCACTCACTCACTCCCGCACCACCGGCTTGGCCTTGATCGCGGCGCCTGACGTCGTCTCGGGTTCCGTGGCGTGTGCGGCGAGCAGCCCACCTGTTGGCTGCCACTGCGGCGGGAGGAGGCGGGCAGGCCAGCAGCGGGCAGCTGACGGTCCTCGTCCACGAAAAGGACCGCCAGCTGCAGACCCTCAAGCAAGGTGCACCATCCGTGTGTGCGCACACGCCACACCGCACACGCCACCGCACACGCGCACCTGGTCACTCACTCACACATGCTACGCTGTCTTACCCAGGGTATGCCCAGTTGCGCGTGAAGAAGGACATCCTGGTCAACGAGGTAAAGAAGCTTCAGGCCGACGTTGCGCGTCTGGGCCACGAGAACGGTAAGACTCTAGCCAACACGCCCCAACAACCTGCTCGGCTGGCTGCTCATCTATGTGTGCGCGCGTGCGGTCGTGTGTGTCGTGTGTCGTGTGTCGTGTGTCGTGTGTCGTGTGTCGTGTGTCGTGTGTCGTGTGTCGTGTGTGTGTGCGTGTGCGTGTGCGTGTGCGATCACAGACCAGCAAAAGCTGGACCTGCAGTACCTTCGATCACAGGAGGAGAGCTTTCAGAAGACCGCCTCGCGCGAGGAATACGAACTCGCCTCCCTTCTCATCGAGGTAAGACCACACGCCTACCCTCCTTGTGGGTTTTTCTTTGGTGCGTGTGCGGTCGCTTGACTATTGGGTGTGTGTGTCGTGTGTGTGTGTTGTGTGTGTTGTGTGGGTTGTGTGTGTTGTGTGTCCGCAGGTGGACGAGCTGCGGCGGTCGCTGGACGAAGCGAGTCTGGAGAAGATCAACGCTCGTCTGGTGCGCGAGCGCAAGCAGGCCGCCGAGGACAAGCGCCTCCAGCGAGAACGCAAGCGGCAGGAGAAGGCCGCCGCCAAGCTCGAAGGAGAAGCGCACCAGCAGGGCGAAGGCGACAAGGACGATGGCGACGAGGGAGGTGATGATGATGATGATGATGGCGGCGATGACGACGACAAGAAGAACGCGTTGCCGGAGCCGGCCGAGCTGATGGATCTGAGCAATCAGCAGCTGGAGGAGGTCCACGCGGAGATCGACCGGCGGAAGGAAGTCCTGGCGGCGGCCAACGCCGCCGAGGACGAGGAACAATCGACAGCGGCGGCGCACGTCGTTGCCCACGACCAGGGCGTCGTGCAGCGGGTGGTCGCTGCCGAGCGCCGACAGAAGCGGGAGGCCAAGCTGCGCTATCTCGACCTCCTCGGAGACATCTGCAACCTCCGCATCCAGGTCCTCGCCTACAGGTACACTCTTTTTCTCTTGCGCGTGTGCGTGTGCGTGTGCGGTCGTGTTTCTGACTGGTGTTTGTTCTCTCTGGGGAAACCCAAAAGCGAGCGGTTGCTGGCACACGCCAAGCACAAGGGAGAGAAGGCGAACCACAAGTTTGTGTGGATCGAACCCTAACCATCACCAAACCTCGAGCGGGCTGGCCAACGTAGAATGTAAATAATAAATAACTTATTGTGCCTGGGGGCACCAGAGAAGACGAAGAGAAATACACCATGACGACGAAGAGAGAATGAAGAGAGTGGAAGAGTCGAAGAAGAAGATGGCTTGGCACCCTCTTGTCCCCTAGTACCAGGGGATGAGGACGTGGGTGACGAGGAGGTAGACGGTGGCGATGGCGAGCGAGAGCATGCAGCAGGGGAGGCCCGTCTTGAGGAAATAGTTGAACGACAGGTTGTAGCCCTGCTGCTCGGCCAGACCCGCCGCCACGACGTTGGCCGAGGCACCGATCAGCGTCGCGTTACCTGAGGTCGCCGCAGCTTGTTGTGAGCAACCGCCGTCGTGTGTGCGGGTGCGGTCGCGTGTGTGTGTGCGGTGGTGTGGCGCGTGTTGCAAATGGAATGGTGGTGCGGTACCGCCCATGCAGCAGCCGTAGGCGAGAGCCCAGACCAGGGGGGTGAGGGGCAGGCCGAGATCGCCGCTGGTGAGGCGCAGGACGATGGGGATCATGGTCTGCGTGAACGGAATGTTGTCGATGAACGCACCCACCGTGCCGCCGACCCAGATGATCATGATGATAGCCGCCGCCAGGCGCGTGTTGCCTGCACACAGACAACCACGTCAACCACCACCATGGGGCGTCAGCAGCAACTCGATACGGTGTTGCGAATTAGTGTGTGTGGCGTGTGTGTGGCGTGTGTGTGGCGTGTGTGTGGCGTGTGTGTTACCTTCGGGCACGTGTGCGATGAGGGAGGCCGTGTGGTTGGCGATGAAGGCCATCACTTCGAGTTCCTCGAGCGACTTCATCAGCACAAAGAGACCAGCGAAGAACAGCAGCGTGCCGAGCTCCACCTTTTCGAGAACGACGTTGATGTCCTTCACGTTGGCCAGGACGAGCAGCGTCATGGTGCCGATGAGCGCGATCCAGGCCAGGCTCAGGTGCGTGTCGACGAAGGAGTTGAGGAAGAAGAGGCTGATCACGCCGGCCAGCACCGCCACGCACTTGTAGAAGAGCGGACGATCGGTGATGATGTACTTGCGCTCCAACTCATTGACGTCGACCTTCTGCGCCGTCTCGCCCAGGTTCACCGTCATCGGCTTGCGGGCTAGCGCGGCCGTTTCCTTTAGCGCCAAAAGAGCACGTGTCAGCATGACACGCGACACGACACGACACGACACGCGACACGATGAGAGGAGAGCGTACGAGTTGCCTGACGTGATCTTCGAGCTTGCGTCGAATCTGCTTCTCCTCCTCGCCCTCGTAGCCCCGGATCTTCTCGACGGTGAGCTTCCAGATGGCGATCTCCTTCAGCCGCTTCGTGTTGGGCTGTCGCCGCAGCTTGTCGCGGTAGAGGTACTTGAGGAAGAAGAACATGACCACGATGATCAGCACAATGCCGGGCGCCACGTGGATGGCAAAACTGCCAAAGTTGACCAGCCCTGGCACACCAACGAAAACGAAGCGTCAATCGTCAGTGTCGCCTGCAGCAGCGAGCGTGGACGATGCGCGACGCGGAGGTACCGGAGCTCTCGAAGCCGTTGACGATGAGCACGTTGGGCGGGTCGCCGATGGCCGTGGCCGTTCCACCGATGTTGGCGAAGATGACTTCGGCGACGATGATGGGCAGCGGATCGAGGTCGGTCACCTTGCACAAACTGATGGTCACGGGGACGAAGAGGAGGATCGTCGTCACGTTGTCGATGAACGCCGTCACCACGCTCGTGAAGCAGCACAACACGACCAGCAGCCTGTGTTGTGGGACAAAAGAAGAAAGGAGAGAAAAGATATGGAAAAAGAAAAGAAAAGAAAAGGGGAGTGCGGTGAATCGCTGAGGCGGCAGAGCGAGAGCCGGGACAGGCGCGGGTGTAGGAGGGTGCGTACTTCCAGAAGTTGCCTTGGGCGATCTTGTAGGCCTTGACGGCAGCGAACTCAAAGAAGCCGGTGTCGCGCAGGAGGCCGACGATGACCATCATGCCGAACAGCAGGCTGAGCGTGTTGTAGTCGATCCACGTCATGATCGTCAAGAAGCTCGGTCGCTCGTGGAGAACGGAGAGCAGACCTGTTGTTCATTGGCCCAATTAGAATTTATATATTAAGAGCCACAATGACAGGGGACATACCCACGGCCAAGAAGGACCCGAGCAGCGCAGCCACGGTGCGGTGAAGCAGGTCCAAGATGATGATGGCGTAGACGGCCACGAGGATGAGCAGGCCCAGCGTGATCTCGGCCCTGACCACTCCCTTGAGCAGGATAAACTGCAGCTGCATCGCTATCGGCCTCTGCCACGTGCGCACGCGCGCCAAAGACGGGCAGGTCAGCCAACCAAGAGGTCTCTTCGTTCGCCGGAGTCGCAAAGAACGAAAACGAAGGCAAAAAGCGAAAGCGAAGAAAAAGAACGAAGGCGCGAAAGAAGGGAAGGGAGAGTGAGCGGGTACGGTGCTGTTGGTCTGGACCACCATGCGGAGCGAGGGGCACTCGCGTATCTCCTCGGGGATCGTGAAGTAGTGCTTGCCGTGCAGCTCAGAGTCGTGGTCGAGCTCCACCACAAGACTGTCGACCTCGACCCACTCCGACGAATCGTTCCCGGCGGGCGAGCACTGGCTCTGCAGGCGGAAGAACACGTCCTCCATCTTGCGCGTCGGGTTAAGCAGCTTCTGTAGCGACATGCGCGTCTCCAGCTCGACGTGATTTTCGCTTATCGTGAAGTTCATGACGTTACAGGCAAGTTAAGGCGAAGTACCACTATCTCCAACCGCACACGCACACGCACACGCACACGCACACGCACACGCACACGCACACAGCGCATCTAGGGAAGGGAGTGGGCGGCAGGAAAGGATATGAAGCGCTGAGTCGCGGAGACGCCGACGAGGTGGGTGTCGGAGTCGTCGGGTTCGCTCTGGGACGAGAGGAAGGCGAAGGCGGTGAAGAAGAAGGCGAGCATGATGGTGATCTTGATGGCCTCGAAGGTGAGCAGCGGCTTGATGGCCCCCGGGACGGAGATGCCGAAGCGCTTGAAGGGGAACACCATCTTGGGCTTGTCGCGCTTCCTCAGCTTGTCCATCTCGATCTCCTCCATCTCTTCCATATCGCCGTCGAACGATCCATAGTCCACGGAATGGGTGGAGCGAGCGCGCAGGATTGAATCGTTTTCGTTGTTATCTTGTTTCTCGACATCTCTCGAAGATGGCGGGGAGGTGGACATCTCCCGTGTCGTTGTTGAGGAGCCGATTGATCGATTATTAATAACGGGTTGCTGTAAGGTGGGTGACGTAGCGTGGCGTTAGCGCCCGTGTGTGGCTCCTCGCTGCTCGATGAGCAGGCAAGCCTTGAAGATGCGCCGGAGGGCCGAACTTCGGCTGAACGTGGACGATGCCAGGACTCCTTGAAGCAAAATGCTCAGAGAATGAAATGTGGGCACCTGCGCCGAAATCAAACGCGCCCCACGCCGAATCGGAATTCGACTGATTCGCGGTTGTGATCAAGCAGGAAGTGCGAGTGCTGAGCTCTGCAGAGAGAAGCGGCGGCACAAGATGTCGAGGCTGGGAGCGAAGTAGAAGATGAGAAGTGGGCTGCTGCACTACCGCGACTAAGTTCCCGAACTGCAACCCGCGGCAGCCACCTTAAGTTTCCGCGAATTGGCGCCAAACGGAAATGTTGCGTACATTTAGGCCGAATATAAAATAAAAACCACAAAGTCAAGATGAAGGGTGGGGCGAGCAAGCAGAGCGCGGGCGAGCAGCCGACGACGACGAAGATCAATCCACTGCCCAAGTCCAACGTCTCCTTTTTCTTGGGCACGCTTACTTTCCCTTGATCAAATCGAAATTGGCCGAAGGCTAATGGTTGAAGGTGACCGACGCAGGCGCGGGTGTGGTGGGAGCTGCCGTAGCGGGCTACTTCATCCTCAACTCTGACAATGCAGCCAAGGCGCAGCCAGTGCCCGCTGGCCAGCTGCCAGCTACGCATCTCCTACACGCCGCACTCAGCTTCGTGTGGCTGGGCTTGGTGCTCGGTACAGCTCGTACACATCAAGATGTGTATGCTTCGTTACTGATGTGGTTGTGGTGGTGACGATGACAGGCATCTCGTTCCTCGAGTCCTGGGTCAAGTTCAGAGCCGACCTGATCACGCGCGTGGTGGGTCTCGACGTGGGCCGCAACGTCTTCCACGCGCTCAACCGCGTCGAGATCGTGTTCGCGCTCGCCGCGTTCCTCCTCACCGTGAAGGACATCGTCGCCCACTCGCCCAGTACACCCACCACCACCACCACCCCTGCGCCGACATCAATTCCCCGCGCGCCACACTCACACACACCGCAACGCGCCAGGCACGCTCGTCACCGGCGTCTGGCTGGCCCCCGTCGTGATCGTTGCGTTGCAGTCCCTTTGGCTGCAGCCGCTCCTCGACGCACGCGCTCGGTGCGCCATCCCTGCGTGGCCGATGATACAGAAGACAGACCTCTCTCCTGTGCGACCGCTCACTTTCTCTCGGTCGTGCGGTAATGATGATGGTCAGGATGTTCATCAAGGGCACGCCGCTGCCCAAGTCGCAGAGCTGGCTGCACCTGGCGTACGTGCTGGTCGAGCTGGCCAAGGTGCTCGCCCTCGCGCTGTCGCCGTTCCTCTACGCGCCCTTCTCCGGCCTTCTTGGCTTCTGAGCCAAAACATCACCATCGCCATCACCACCATCGCCACTGGCGTCATTACCAGCCAACAACCGTTTGGCCTTTCCTCCAGACCACACTTCATCGTCTCTCCTTGCGGTTACGATCAGGCGCCCCCCTAACGATCATTGTAATGATTGGATCAGAGTTCTTCTATCGATTTTGTTGTTATTATTTATACTCTTTTGTGCGATTACATTCTATTATTTACACGTGTCGAGGTTGGCTCCTCGTCTCCATTGATGGAGTCGCCGTACGCCTCGCGCAGGGTGCCGATGTCGGAGCGCAGACGCTCGCCCTCGAGGACCCCGAAGTCGCTCTCCCAGCCGTTGTCGTCCACCGTCACATATCCGGTGGACGACTTGCCGCTGCTGCTGCCGCTGCTGCTGTTGTTCGCCTTCGTCTCGGGGAAGAGGCAGAACACCAGACAGCACGCCAGGAACGCCACGCAAAAGTTCGCCGAAGCAATATAGTACACCAACCCTGCGTGTGCGGTGTGTGCGGTGTGTGCGGTGTGTGCGGTGTGTGCGGTGTGTGCGGTGTGTGCGGTGTGTGCGGTTAGCAGGGTTGGAACGAAGAAGAGTGACAATGGAGGCGAGTGGTCGTACCGGGGTCCTTGGTGGGCCAGGGGTCGCCGGTGGTGAAGTAGGTGAAGAGGGTGTTGTACACGAGCGGGCCGATGAAGGCCGTGATGGTCTTGAGGCCCGAGAGCACGCCCATGAGCTCGCCCTGCTGGGCCATCCCGTACTGCTTGGAGATGATGCCTTTGCTCACGGGCATGGCCAGGAATGCGATGCTGCGGAAGATCATGATCGGATACAGGTAGAACCCGCTCGGCACCAGCGCGTACGGCCAGCTGCTCACCTGGTCGTCGTCGTGTCGTGTCGTTGGTCGTGTGCGTGTCGTGTCGTGTGCGTGTCGTGTGCGTGTCGTGTCGTGCCGTGTGTCAGGTGGAGAACAGCAGAGACTGAGCGGAACAGAGACAAGTTGAGTACCGCATCGATGAGCATGGCGAGGAGAAGTGTTTTGCGGTCGCCAAGCCAAGGCAACAGATAGCGAATCAACACGCCCTGTTGAACGGGGGGGGGGAATAGCGCGCTCGGGTTAGCGGAGTGACGGACAAGTCGTGATGGCCCGTGCGCCTTGCGACGCAGCTCAGGTGTACCTGGGAGACGCAGTAGGTGAGACCGAACACGGACATGGAGATGCCGATGTCGAGTGGACCCCAGCCAAACCGGTACTTGAGGAACAACACAAAGACCGCGATCAAGCCCTCCTCGGCCAGGAACATCAGGAAATATGTGAGGGCTGCACGACACACACGACGCACACGACGCACGACACACACCGCGCAGGTCAGTGAGAGCTCGACAGCGTGCTGGAGGGTGTGTGTGAGACGCACCTACGCCCAAGGCCAGGCGGCTCTCGAGGAGCATGTAGAACGAGCGGAGCGGGTTGAGGCGCCGCCACTCCCACGGCTTCTTCTCCTCGCCCTTGGACTCGACCATGACGAACCCCACGAACAGGATGTTGATCGTCGTGAAGAACACCGCCACCAGCAGCGGTATCGCCAAATCAAACTGAACACACGCACACGCACACGCACACGCACACGCACACGCACACGCACACGCAGTGAGTGTCGTCGCCGCGAGCGGTTGGCTTTCTGGGCGATGCGTACCTCGCCGAGATAGCCCGCCACTGTTGGCCCGGCCATGAACCCCAGCCCTGTCGCAATTCCTGCACGATTGGTGCACACCCGTTCGAGCCCCCCCCCCGGTGAGCGGCAGGGCGTCGTGCGAATCGGGCAGACCACACCGACGACGTACCGAGGGCGCCAAAGTTCTTGGAGCGGTCTTCGGCGCGGCTGATGTCGGCGATGTAGGCGTAGCCCGCCGTGTAGAAGCCGTAGCACGCGCCGCCGACCGCGCGGGAAACGTAGAGCGGCCACACGCCCCACCCGAGCACCGGCGCCGCCGCCAGCACGCCCATGTCCACCCCGAACCCCACCTGTGTGCGACCACAATCGTCGTCAACATCGCCATCACGATAGTCATCGTCGTCGTCAACACATTGTCGACGATGGTCGTGGGTGGAATGTTGTGAGGCGTACGAGGGAGACGAGGAGACAGGGAATGCGGCCCCAGCGATCGGAGATGAGACCCAGCAGCGCCGCGGTGACGAGGGTGGTGCCCGCATTGACGGCCGAGAGGTAGCCCTGAATCGACGATGCAGCGCTCACGTCGCCACCGCACAGCTCCGTCACCACCTGTCGCATACCATAATTAGATAAAACAAATAATTTTCATTTAAAAATAACAAATAACAAACAACTTATTTTAAAAAATGAGAATAAAAATAAATAAATTCAGAGAGGGCACGTACGAGGGGGATCATGGCAGATGAGTAGGAAAAGGCGAGCATGTAGAGAAAGAAAGAAAAGAATATGTACATGAGGTTGGGCTTGCGCCACGCCTCGGCAGACCGGTAGAACGCCACCACCTCCCTCCACCCACCCTCTTCGCCCTTCTTCTTCTTCCTGGCAGCTTCCGTTTCCCACTGGGCACCGTCTCTGTCATCTTCGTGCTTCCGCCAATCTTCGTCTGGGATCACTCCTTCCGTGTGTTCGTAGTCATCGCAGTCGTCGTTGACGCTCAAGTTGTGGTTGGCGGTGGTGATGAACGGCCCGCCGTACCACTCCACCACCCCGTACGGCGGTGTGTCATCGTCATTGTCGTCGTCTTCGCCGTGGTACGCATGCTGCTGCCTCCACAGCGCTCCATCTTGCATCGCTTTGGTTGTGTGTTGCGCTGTGTTGTGGTGCTGTGCTGTGTTGTGTTGTGTGCCCCGAGAGTGTCAAGTGGTGAGTGCGGTCTGACCACTCGTTGGAGTGTTTCTGGCGGAGCGGGGCTTGGGTGACGGGCTTTTTTGCGGTGCGTCAGATATATCGACCGAACCTCGGTCTTTTTAGTGGTTGGGGGAGTTTGTTTTAGCTCCCCCAATGCGAAGGGCTGTAATGGTGCTTGAGCCTGAGCGCAAGGACTCGCAACCCAGCGCCCCTCCTACGCCTTTTCTCTTCTTCATCACCACCAGCAGCATGGTGCAGTCTGCATCCTTGTTTAGATTGTTCTTGTCGACATCCTGGAAAAGAAAAACAATAAAAGAAATAAATAAATCGTCAATTACAAATTTAATCACTGGAGATGGAGGTGGATTCGCTGCCGGGCGGTGCACGGTGCCCACTTTGTCCTCCGGCACGGGCAAATGCACTAGCGCCAGAGGGGGAGGGGATAGATGAGAGCATGACACGATTTTTCCAAATCGGGAGCCAATGGATCGGTTGGCCCCTCTGCACCACCCACCTCCTCGAGTACCGCCAAGCCCACCCACCACCGCCCGCGCTCATCGACGAGCACAATCCCTCCATCATGGAAGAGAAGATGAAGATGGAAATGGAGAATGCACCCATCACCACCACAACCGAGACCGATGGCGAGGCCCAGCCCACCCGACGCAAGCGGCGACGAAAAGCCGCCGCTGAGCGCCAGCAGATGGAGGAGAAGGGCTCTGCCTCAGGGTCGTCGTCGTCGTCATCATCAAGCAGCTCCAAGATGCCGCTCGACCACGTACCGCTGCAGCCCATCGGCCTCTTCGAGTCGTGCTTCCTCGAGCGGCACGGCACCCCGCGCCAGGGCCTCCTCGTCCCCTCATCGCGCGGGCGGCTCACCCTCCGCCGCACCGACGCGCTCACCAACCCGCGCGACGCGCTGGTCGGGCTCGACGGCTTCTCGCACGTGTGGCTCGTCTTCCTCTTCCACAACAACGCGGGCCACCCCCAGAACAAGATCCACCCGCCGCGCCTGGGCGGCCGCAAGCTGGGCATGCTGGCCACCCGCACCCCGCACCGGCCGTGCCCCGTGGGCCTGAGCGTGGCCCGCATCGAGCGCATCGACGGCGACACGCTCCACCTGGCCGGCGTCGATCTGGTCCACAACACGCCCGTGCTCGACGTCAAGCCCTACATCGCCCGCTACGACGCCCTGGCCGACGCGGTGACGGCCGACTGGCTCGTAGAGACCGACAGCCGCGAGGCGGGCGCCGAGGGCCGGCTGCGGGTGGAGATGAGCGACCAGGCGGTGGCGAGCCTGCGGCGCTACGCCGACGAGCTGCGGTTCTTTCGGGGCGACTGGGAGCGGGCGCGGCGGTGCATCGAGGAGGTGCTGGCACTGGACATCCGCACGCTGCACATGAAGCGGCGCCACAGGGAGGGCACCTACGGGGTGTCGATCGATGTGATGAACGTGTCGTTCGCGGTCAATGCCGAGAGCGGCCTGTGCACGGTACAGCGGATCGACCTCTGGCCGGAGAGCTACGACCACCACGACTTTGGCGAGGTCAAGCGAAAGCGCGTGGCCACCACTGCCACCTCCGCCACCACTGCCGCCGCCGCGGACACGGGCGAGCGACCAGACGCCGGCGCCACGGAGGCCGAGCCAACAGACTCCTGAGTCGCGTGTGCGGTGGTGTGTGCGACAACATGCGGTTGTTTGCTCGAGAAACGCACCAAACTGGGATTATGGGGAAGATGACGAAGAGGAGGACGACGAAGAAGAAGAAGAAGCGCCCGGCTGGGTGGTCTTCCACTCAACAATCTCGGGGTGCTGCGTGCTCAGCTGGTGCAGCACGTCGTCGAAGCCCAGCTCGCGCGCCAGATCGAACCTGCGCAGAAGGCCGGAAATGTGAGGAAATGCAAGGAATGCAAAGCGAACGACGGAGAAGCGCGTACGCGATGAACTTGTCGGAGATGGAGAGGAGGAACTTCTTGCAGTTGGCGGTGTGGACCTGTCGCTGCGGGTCGGCCTTGAAGCGGTGCACGATGTCGGCGTAGAGGGAGGAGTCGTAGGGCAGGTGCTGCCACAGCTCCTCCACGTAGGCCGTCTGGCCCACCACCATCACATGCTGGTAGACCGCCGGCAACCACTCGCTGCGCGCGCGCACCACACGACACAACGTCGAGGTGAGCACGCACGGCGCACACACACGCACACACACACACGCACACACACGCACACGCACACACGCACACACAACGATGACAACATACTTGAGGCGGTGAAGGTCGTAGGCGCGGGCGAGGGTGATGCCCTCACGGAAGGGCCGGAGACCCATGGTCTTGCGCGCCTCGGCCTGGGTAAGGCCCACCAGACGCACCTCGGGACCCAACTGGAGCTGCACCCCGACCAGCGACGCCCACGCCAGACACTGCGACGCCGTACTGATATTTCGAAATATATATATAAAAAAACGTGAGCATGCCGTGTGCGGTGGTGCGTGTGCGTGTGCGGTGGTGCGTGTGTACTTGAAAGAGCGCTCTTTGACGTAGTTGTCGGCGGCGTCGAGATGGTGCCCCATGGCCTCGTTGAGCGCAGCGCGCCACAGCAGCGAACCCCACGAGGCCTTGGCCTTCTCCATCGCCTCCAGCGCCTGCCAACCGAATATAGGACTGAGCTGCACGCACATAACCGCACACGCACACGTAGCACGCAGCGCCGTACCTGGTTGTTGAGGAAGTCGCCCATCTCGTGGTGCATGTTGAAGGCCAGGAACATCATCATGATCTTCTCCTTGTCGTGGGAGTGGAACGACATGAGGTACTTGCTGATGGCCATCCGGAACTCCAGCGAGTCCACGTGCGTCCCGCGATACGCGCTCCGCATCAGCAGCTGCGCGACCACACGACACGCACGACACGACACCCACGACACACGCACGACAAACACGACCGCACACGACACAATGACACACGAAGCGCGTGAGAGGGCGAAGACGGGCGAGTGGGCGGCTGGGTGCGGTGGTCGTACCTGTTCGAATTGGTCGTACTGCATGAGGATGTCGAGCATGTAGCGCAGCTGGTCGTAGGCCTTGATGCCGGTCAGCAGCCGGACGAGCAGCTTGAAGGCCCTGGCCTCGACGTAGGTCGTCACGCGCTCCTTCACCAGGTGGAGCACCATCTCCGACCCGTGCAGGTTGCACGCCAGCGCGAAGCAGTGATGTGCCCGCACCAACAGCTCAACCTACACACACACACACACACGTCAGGCACGACACACGACACACGACACACGACACACGACACACACGACACACGCCACTGCACGCGCACATACCTCGCATTCATGGGGTATCTGGTCCTTGTTTTTGTTGATGAGGTAGACCAGCCGGTTGCCGACCTCGCCCGGATCTTTGGACAGGTTCACGAACTGGGCAAAGTCGTCGTCGGACCAGGCCGGATCGATGCCGGTCTGCGACTCACCGCCGTCGCCGCCGCCGCCGCTGCTCGAGCCGCCCAGCGGCGAGGGCTTGTACGTGCCGAGGCTCCCCACGCGGCGCCCGCCTCGGGCCTGGCCCTGCACCGCCTTGAAGTACGAATCTGCAATGTGCACCGCCACCTGTGTTCGTGTGCGATGTGTGCGATGCGTGTGCGGTGCGTGCGTGCGTGAGAACGATAGAAGAACGAAGAACGAAGAACGAACGAACGAAAGAGTGCCTTGGCGTAGTTGAGCTCGTAGTGGGTGATGAAGGCCTCGATGAGCGGGAAGAGGGGCTTGCCGTTGAGCAGCAGGAAGAGCAGCAGATTGTAGGGGTCCTTGACGTCGATGTCCCCGAACGGGAGCGACAGCTGCACCGCGACCTTGTACTGCACCACAATCTTCTCGGCGTGTTGCCTGTGCGCAGAGTACGGCAGAGCGTCAGCATCCACCACGTCTCGTACACCGCACACACTGCACGCGCACGCATCGCACACACCGCACACACCGCACAGGCTTGCAGGAGAGTACCGGCAGTGTTGGACGAGGGTGGCCATCCATTCGAGGACCTTCTGCACGCCGGTGGTGCCCGACCCGCTGCCCATCGCCTCGGCAAAGTCGGTCCGGCCGTAGAACTTGATCTTCAGCAAATCCACGATTTCTGGTGTACCCCACCCCGGTGTGAGATCAGCATTCTCCACACGGGTCAGCGGGTGCGCGCGAGCGGGGGTGCGGGGTGCGCGTACTGGCGGGCAGAGAGCTGACCGAAGCGGAGCCGTCCGCGATGGCGTTCATGGCGCGCACGATCATCAGGTCTCGGCCTTCGAGGTTGAATTGCTTGCCTGTGTGGTGTTGGAGGGCGTGGGTGAGACAATCGCGTCGACACATAAAAAAGTGAGAAGAAGTCCAGGAGAGACGAAGGTACAGATGCTGGCGGCCTTCTCGAGCTTGCCCTCGTTGATGAGCTTGCCCACGATTTCGTCGAGCAGGCTCTCTTCGATGCCCTCCTCGCCGATCTCCCTCGAACCGTCACTGGGTCGTCACCAGCAAATGTAACGATTCAAAAACAAATTACAAATAAATAACTAAATAAATAAATACAAAACAAAAATAAACTTAAAGAGAAAAATTTGATATAATAAAAATAATTGTAGGTGGTACCCGGATTCGGTGGTGATGCTGAGGAGGAGAACGCGGTTCTCAAGCTCCTGGATGAACTCGGGCGTGATGGGGCGGGTGGCCCAGCCCTGGGTGGCCCACTCGGGCGGCGTGACATCCGCCGACACGCGGCGGAGGAACGAAACTGCAAAGTCCAGCAGCAGCGCCTGCTCGCTCACGTTCTGTTCGTGGTGCCCCGACTAACGTTAGACGAACCCACACGTGTGGCCACACGCATGAGGGAGCGAAGGGCGGACCTTGCGCAGGCGCCGGGCGTCGTCGGCGTGGTGGAGGAAGAATCGGGCCACGGTGGCCGGCGCCCAG